CAATATGTACACAACCTTAAACCGAGAAAATTAGAGGGATTGCTTAAGCTAGACCATTGAATCCTTGATGCATTTACAACCCCAAAAGAAAAGCAGAGCTTATAACGATGCTCACCAGATGGAGCTAGTGACTGGGAGAGTAACGGTGGTTTCTGTTTAGAAGAGATCAATTGCCACCCTGGAGGTGGGCCATCATCATCTTGTGTGACTACTTTTTGTATATCTACAATTCAGAAAGTAATTCTTGACTCAATATGTGGCTATGTTATTGACAACAATAAGGTTTACAGATTCCTTACAAAAAGCCAGCATTGGTAGAAATGAAAAAGTGTGGAAATCAAAGATTGAAGAAATTTACTAGAAGATGGAGCTGATTGAGGCACTAATAGTGGTGTGGATTCTGGTGGCCGCTGTTGCTGAGGGTTCAGTTGCCACCCTGGTGGCCGTGGAGGACCATCATCAATTCTTTGATTCTTTGCCACTTGTATATCTAAATTCACAATGTCAATTCTTCCAGTCAAAGATATCACTACCCAAATTCATATCCAGTCAAAGAAAAGGCTAACAGAGGCTGTTATGGTCAAATTGAGCCATTCATTGGGGGTATCTACGCAGAACGAAAGATATGGAAATACAATGCTTTAACTATTGAAGGAAAATGCTCCTTAAAGTTCGTACTGTATTTGCATAAACCAAAGCGGCATTAGTTAAAATCTTTAATAATTAATATAATTAGCTTCTCTTAAAGTAAATGACATATTATTACTCATTAAAAACCAGGCTTTAGCATGCTGAATGTTTCAATCCAAAAGTTTTGGTACTAGCACACTACACTCAGAAAGGCACATAATCCATTTTATTAGCTACTTTTTTTGAAACAACATGCAATTCATTAAACATTCAAAAATGGACCAAGAAAGTCTGGTGGGTTAAACTCCCACATTTCAACACAACTCTCAACCTGTCTAGCAAGTAAATGAGCCAAAACATTCTTAGATCTGGGCACAAAATGAAATTCAATGTGCTTAAGTCAAAGGAAAGGCACAGTCTTAGGTTGCAAAAAAAAACTAACCTTGTAAAGATAATAACTCAACAGAGGGGAAAGTGGTTACTAAATAAAGCCAATAATCCATTAGAAGAGGATGTGTGTGTGTGTGATTTGGAAAAAGAAGTAAGCATTGGTTAGGAGAAAGGACTTACCAGAGACAAGTTCAGATGATGATCTCATACATGATTGAGGTTGCTTTGATTCTGTAGAATGCCATCCCATGGGAGGCATGTCCTCATATTGTTTTCTCCCAATTTGTACATTTGGAACTCCTTGATTTCTTAACATTCGTGTATCTGAAACTAAACCACTTCATTTATGCATAAATTCAACAAAACTTAACTGTAAAAGCAATGTTAAGATATAAGAACAGCCACAGAATGAAAAGTTAACTCTCCAAAGCAGTGGAATGCATATTAGTTTCATGGATCCTAAGTCTCATGTTAGCATTCCCAGTTACAACTCATATTTCCAAGCTTAATTACACCAACAACAAACTCCCATTCGAAGAACACAATAGAAATCACAGATTAGTAAAGCCCAACAAATAAAGAAGAGGAATTCCCAAGCTTAGGTTTTGAAAAGAAACCCAATGTTACAATTCTGATCAAATGTTAGCATTCTTGTGAGTAAGTAATTTCAAATTTAAGAAATTTTAGCAGAAGTGAGATAGAAAGGGGAAATTCGGAAAATCAAAATGCCGCAACAGAGATTAACAAAGTTGAGAATCCAAATGCTACTATACCCTCTCAATTGTATCCAATAAATTGAAGTATAATCATCTAACCAGAATGACTGATTGGCGGCGGCGGCGGAGGAGGCAGCACTTACGGCGGGTTTGGTTCAGAGAATCCAGGCGGAGGGCCGTCATCTTCGTCCTCCTCTCCGCCGCAATCTTCGACGACCATTTTTTCCAGTTTTGCGTTAATAGCTATCGAATCGAACCCGGGCGGAGGCCCATCATCATCATCGTCTTCAACTTCTTCTAAGAGCGAATTGCTGAGAAAAACTTCTTCTTCCCTCACCATCTCTATGCTTTCTTCTCCGTTTCTCAGTTACCACTGAAACACATAAACTCCTCACTTCCTCAGTAACTAAGAGGTGAAACTTTATTCATTTTCTTAGCCTATTTTCGTTAGCCTATTTTTGTCACTCATTTAATAAAATAATATAGTCATGTCACTTCTAGTTTTCTAGATCTTTTGATATACTCCGTATTTTTTTAATATGTAATTTTTATTTTTAAATTTACACCATTTTTCATATAAAATGATTTGAAAATAACTTCAGTCAAACATCGTAACGCGCAACGAGAAGTTTATTTGTAGACGGAGGAAGTAAGATATATCCATCCATGTTTACCAAGCTTTTATCTATTTGTGAAATCACTGATATACCCCCTTCTAAAATCTTAAAAACAAGTAGAAAAAATATATATAATTGGACAAAGAAAAAAATTTTATGGGTTGAAAAGGATTACTCCATCCGTCTCAAAATATTTATCACATTATACAAAAAAAATTAAAGTTTTTAAAATTCATTTTATTTAAATATTGATATAGAAATAAAAAAAATAAGATTTTCATATTTAAACACTACGTCATAATGTGTTCAAAACAAGATGCCACAAAAATTTTTTACTTTAATAAATAATTGATAAAAAATACAAATAAACAAACATTTCCACAATTTTTAAATAATAAACAGTGACATTCTTTTTTAGACGAATGTAGTAAGATACTTGAACATTTTAAAGAGTTCAATAAAATTACTGAAAGAAAGATAAAGGAAGTGACATTTTTAAATATTTTAAAGAATTCAATGTCATTTTTTAAATAAAAAAGAAAATGACAATTTTAACAAAAAAGAATAGTTGAATAAGATCTTTATCTTAATACTCTTAGATAAATTCTAAGTAGACCTAATTTACAGCAAAGAATTTATAAACGTTTTTAAGAGCGTATGGCAAGCATTATTTTTGTTGTAGGGTATTGGTTCAATGTGACTTTATTAGCCAAATTAGAGTATAAATTAATTAAATAAAAATTAGAGAGTACATTGGATATAGTTACAACAAAATAATTTTATGAAAATCTATTTTTTTTTAATATTACGGAGTAAAACACAAAATAATTTTTATTTTAATTAATTACTTAAGTTCATTCCTTTTAACTGTAAAGTGTTAAATTTAAAAAACAACTTGTGTTAATGTTTATTGACTTGTTACGGATTCGCGGAAAAAATCAATTGGGACACATTGCCCCGCACATGATTCGCGAATAGGGGCGGCACGCCCTATCCCACATGGCGCCACCCCTCTCCATGCTGATGTGGCAAGCGAGCCAGCAGGTGGTCATATTTGAAAATTTAAATAACAGTTCAATAATAATTCAGAATATTACAGAGTATATTCCATAAACATTTGAAGTGAATGCTTACTTCAAATTAGCACTATAATAATTCCTTTTAAACATTACTCACAACATTTAAAAAAAACAAGATGTTTGATGTCCCAAATCACAGGATTTTAAATATTACACAACTCCATTCACAGAAAATCTGAATTAAATCACAAATTTAGTCTTTTAAATTACATGAAAATTGGGATTCACTACAAGCTCCTAATGAAGGTTGGCCAACAAGGAGCTGTGAATAATAGAACTGCCAAAACCAAACCGACGAAGACCGATCAAATCTGGCATTCAATTTAAGGTTTCGGCTACGATGAAGCCAAAAACCAGACCATACCAACCAAACACATTGAACTCCATGAGAGCAGAAACAGGAAAACAGAAAACAAAAACCAACCAAAACTGACATGATATCCCCATTTTTCAAAACCAAAACTGAAAGATGGACACCACTGCAAGTCTACAAGAAATGAATTCTTGTTCTATAAGAGTTTAACCGTGGAACCATATGCTATCTTTTGATGTATATAGAAAACAAAGAACATGAGAAGCGTCTACTATATATATATCTAATAAGAGTTTGTATGCATTTGACTATATATGTTTAGATTTTAGACGATTGGTGATATGCCACCATAAGAGAGCTGTTTTTTTTAGGTACTACTGGTATATATTTGGACTGTAAAACCGAAAGCAATCAATCGAGCTCTCTAAAGAAAATAAATATTTGGAAATGTCTATAAACCTTTTGAAGTATACACGGCAAATGTCAAGTGAGAAGTGATCTATGATCCATCAGATGCAGCACTAACAGCTGTTGGAGCCTTCTCATAAACAACAGCAGTCTCTCTGAATCTGCTTGGAAGAAAGCACCTCCCCCCAAACCTCTGCTGCAAGTAAATGAGAGAGGCAAACAGTATGCCCACACAGCAAATGATGATGTCCCATGAAGTTGAATAGTAATCCAGTTTTGGGTCTGCGTATATGTAACTCAGTGTCCAGGTTGAACCATGGTGGGCCCTATAAAGGTCATACACGTGTGGGAGTAAGCGGACGAGTGTGTTTCCAAGAAAAAATGTAGGGCTGAGAGCCTTTTCGTTGGTAATGGAAAACACATTGAAGAGGATTTGAGGGAGGAGAAAACCATCCAATATGAAACCGGCATAAGATTTAAGGCCACCCCATAGCGTCCATTTTTTTAGGAGCCTGTGGAAACGGTGCAATAGAGCAGCCCTTCTTTGGTGACGTGCCCTTAATGCATGGACACACAATGCAACCAACCCCCCAATACCATAAAGAGGCAAAGACAATAACAGAACCTTCTTATCAGCTGTCCATAGGCTCATATGCTGACTTTCAACACCTGTCTTTCTTGAAGACCATGTCAGTTGGAGAAGACGAAACTCTAACAAGAAGGCTACCATTGTAATTACTCTCACTAACACCTCATTCACCTCAAGCCACACATCACCGCCTAAATAAACATTCTGTTTGTTTCGGTTGGCCAAAAACAGAGCTTCAAAGTTCAACAACAGTGGGATCATGTGTGCAACAGTGAGTAAAACCATCATGGTGATGGATATGAAAGGAAGCACGTGGGGGTGGTTTTTTACATACAGTAGTTGCAGACCGACAAAGAGACACATGAGTGTATTGGAAACCAAGACAAGTGTAATTTCTAGATCCATTCTCCATATGGACTCTCTAGCTTGTTCTATGTAAAGGGAAGTTGATACAATCTCAAGAGGTTGAAAGTAAAAATGATCAGACTTCACCCGTAAGCTCTCAATGGTTCCTTTTATTACGCTCTTTCCGGATTTTGCATTCAAAGGTGCATACTGGATATCAACTTGTACTTCACAGTCAGTATATTTTGTATTCAATAAGCTTGTATCTTGTGATACAACATGCATACACCCAATCATGCAAAGATGGCCTGTTTTAGAATCATACAAACCTTCCGAAGAAATCTCCATTGAATAGGGGTGATTTGAATGGTTACCTCCAAACATGAAATCCCTTTGGAAGGAGAAATGAAACACAAAACTTATGTTAACAACTCTGCTTAGATTTCCGTATGTTCCTAAATGTACTTTTTCTATGTTGAAAAAGTTTTCGCCAACAGATAAAGGAGAAGAATAAGCCCATGATTCAACCCCGGTTTTGCTTCTCAAGATGGTGTTAAACCTCATGTTGGACGAGTGAGGTTCGGGGTATTTTCCTTCTTTTCCCTTGACTTTGCTAATCATTTTGTTTGCACATGATCTTTTTGCTCTCTCAATCTCAGTATACTCATAAACCACACCAGCTGGCCTAACCTGCCTATTGGCATTGCTTCGGAAGGTCATGTTCGGAAAGTATCCCGACTCGTTTGAGTTTTTGGCGGTGCTCCAAATGTTGCCTACAAAATCACTTCTCTCCCTCAATGTCCACCGCGATGGCATTCTCAAGCTAAGCCTAATTGTACAATCTCCAATCAAATGTTTACTCGAGGACACATCACTGTCTTTCAGAACTCTACAAACAACCATTTCCAGTCTTTTCTTCTTCTGGTTCCACTTACCCTCAGTCACTAAAGTTGCATTTTGATCAAAGGGGATCTCGAAATCAGTACGCCTTTGCTTTCTAAAGAACAGCAGGTATCTCGTCCTCCCACTTTCTTTTGAACACTCAATCTCCTTGAAGTACATATCATATGGTGTGAACTTAGAGCTAATTCCATCAATTAAGTCGCAGTTTGCACCGTTGCATTCTGTTGGGTACTCCAATTCTACTATTGCATTACCTAGAGCTGAACATAAATACTGATTGCTGCTCAATCCCAGTGAATGATTAACAAATCCATCATATGCATTGAATGTATCTTTCTCTACCTCTTTGTCTATCAGACTGTAATTATAATTCCTCAAAGAAAACCCAGATATTTCCAGAGACTTATTGTGATCCCTTTCATTGTGCTTTAAACCAAACCTCTCTAAGCTACCATTAACCAAACTATCAAAAATTGTTGAAGAGTTCAAATAACTTAGCTTCAGAGCGTATTGTGCGTAGTTGGCCTTGCTGAAACCCGACCCAACCATGCACAGTTGTCCAGTGATCGAGCTCCAGAACCCGGAAAGGTTAATAACCGGCGGATAGCCCGGCCTAGGAAATCTAGGGGGCCTATAATTGACGAACCGCAAACCGCGGCGGCGGGTTAGGCCGGCGGGAACCCTCTGTCCGTAAGATCGCGGAATGTATACGCTTCCTTCGAGCTTGTACACGCCGTCTGTAACGGTTCGGTGGACGTTACGAGTGGTGAAATGCAAGACACTGAGACTGAGAGAAGAGCCCGGTGTCGACAGCGCACCCAGATCGCCGCCGGAAAAGTAAGCATTCCGCAAGGCGAGCCAAGAGCGTGGATCGGCGACAGGGGTCGCGTCTGGAGATACCGGTGACTCTGGGACGACATCACCGCAGTGCTCTGAGTATAGGATCGGCGAAGGGAGCTTCGGCGAGCCGGCGGCGGCGCCGGACAATGTAAGGACGAGTATGAGAAGGAGATGAACCGGAAATTTCACGATTGTCAAATGGAATTTTGGGGATTTGGAAATTTGGTTCTCCATTAGTTTTTCTTTAGTTCCTAATTTTAAAAGATGCATATTTGTATGTACTCTTCCACTCGGGTATTAATGTACTGTAGAGATTATTAAGAAACTGTTATGTATTAAAATAGTCTTATACTCTTATTTGTGTTATTACTCCTATCTCAAAGTAGTTGTCCAATTTTGATAATATTTTTTAAAATAAATATAATAAAAGTATATTTCTGATAAATATATAATACGGAGTATCATTTTTAGTTAATTTGTTATCAAAAATTGTCAATTTTGACCAAGAAAGTTAGAACTCAGAAGTAGACAAATACTCTAGTTTCGTTTCACTAAATAAAAGTATCGATGGTTGTGACCGGTAGTCAACGCCGGCGGTGGAAACCTGAAGACGGCAGAGGATTGCGATAATGTTTATTGTTATTCAAATTTTAATGAATTAGTACTCATATTTGATATTTTCATACTTTTTATTCATTTTGACACTAATAATAAACATCATTATTAGTTATCTTCCTTATTCTATAATTTCCTTATTATATTTATATTGTTACCATAATTCTTCTTTTATTATGATTAGAATTCTCTTTTGTAATATATATATATATATATATATATATATATATATATATATATATAGATTGACTCCAGTGAGATGACGCAAAGCTCACCAATGGCCAATGTAAAGCTCACCTCGATATAAAGCAAAGCTCACCACTTTGAACACCAAAACTCACCTTTTTTTAATTTTGAAAATTAAAAAATAATTAAAAATAAAATAGCAACACCGGTCAACCACCGGTCAGCGGCGGCGGCGGCAGGCGGCGTCTGGTGATGGTCAACGGTCAATGGTCAAAGTCTAGTCAGCACTCCTTCCTTTGATTTTTTTTCAAAAAAAATTCAAAGTGTTGAAAAAATATAGTGAGTTTTGCCTAATAGTTTCGTGAGCTTTGTAATTGGCTTTGGTGATGAGCTTTGCATCATCTGACCGAAGCATGTCATCTCACCGTAAGTTGTAATCTCATTGAAGTCAATCCTATTGATATATATATATATATATATATATATATATATATATATATATATATCACATAAAATCTTAATTATTTTTCAAAATTGATAGTCCTCGGAGTATATATTTAATTTTTTATACTATTCATAATATTGAATTAAATGCCTAAAAAAATTGAAAATTTAAAATAAAATAATTTAATAGCTTTTGTATATGTATTTTGATATTTTATTACGGAGGAATTTTTTAGTGTAAAATGCAAGTGCTAGTAAAATAGCTGACGATTGAGTATAATATTTACTCACTTTGATATTTTACATGTTCCAAGCTGCCCCTCGTCTCCGTTGATCAGCTTGCGGGGGATATTAGGAAGTATAATTAAATTAGGATACTTCTTTCCTTTCCTACTAGGATTATTCTTTCCTTTCCTACTTGTACTTTGATTGCTCTTGTATTCCCTATATATAGGGCCATATCTCTCAATATTCAATAAGACAAGTTATTATCAAATTGTATCATTTTTTTTCTTTTTATTGAACCTCCGTCGTCATCACATAATATTTGTCAAATTTTGACTTTTTAGAGTCTAAATAAATAAATTTTGATCATAAATGAAATAAATTTTATATTAGATATTGATGGAAGAATAATATTATTGAATTAATTATAATATGTTTAAAATATTATTTTATTTATTTATTAATACACCAAGAAACTTTTATTTAATAGTAGATCAATAATTGATTGAGATTAATACAAAAAGTCAAAACTAAAGAAAGAGAGAGTACTCTGTTACGTTGTCTAAATTAAATAAAAAGAGTAATTTATAATGAGTAATGATAGAGTTACACGAATTAACAAAATTGGGAAACTAAAGTCAAAAGGATGAAGGGACATCCCATATATTTCGGTGATTATCGTTCATTAATGTTGAATATTAGTACCTAAAATACGCAACTTTAATTTGTGTTAGTGTCAAATATTCCATTGTAAAAGTTCAAAGCAAATGTGAATGGCACAATTTTTTTCGGGAGAACAAAAAAAAGAGAAGTGGGTAGATTTGTGTATGTATATAACCACAACCTAGAAAATGATAGATCCATCAATAATATATACACAATGGCTTCTTCCTCATCAGCCAGCAGCTATCTTCGTTTCTTCTTCCTCCTCCTAACCCTACTCCTACTCCGCGACGTTCAGGCCACATCTCGCGGCGGCGGAGCTTTTATCTTCAGCTCTCCACCACCACCGGCATTCCCCGGCGGCGGTGGACCTTTTATTTACAGCTCTCCACCGCCACCGGGTCATTCCTCGGAAGAACTTGTCTTCAAGAGAGAAGACAATAATGTTAATCAACACCATGGCATCTATGGCTACGACCCGGCGAGCACATTTGGTGATAATCAAGAAGAGGATTTGCCCTGATCGATCGATCTTCATTAAATTCCCGGTCCCGGCCAGTGCGTGGTGTTTCCTTTGCATGCATGGCCGCGTTTTACGTCTCGTTGTTAAATTTATGCGCACCGAGTATCTTCTTCTTAATTCATTCTCGTGTGCATGGCGTTTTCTTTGATGTTATTATATTGTTCCTATAAGAAGTTTCCATTTATTATATGAGTAATTTAAGCAAGTGAGACTAAACCATATCACTTTTTTTATATATAGGATCGGTCATATTTCTAACGTTTGACAATGAAATTTTTTAAAAATGTTCTGCCTTTGAAAACGTGAGCGCTTCTTTAAGAGCTGGAAAAATGACAAGCATCCAAAATGACTACAAATGAATATTAATAATGTTCTTTCTTAATAAAAATATGACATATTACACAATTCAAGTAGAATAAGACATTATTAAAAAATACTCCCTCCGTCCACAAATAAAGTTCTCATTCACTATTCACAGGGTCAAACTTTACTCACTTTGTTGGCCTATTTTTGTGTCTTATTTGATAAAATAATATAGTCATGTCACCTCTAGTTTTGTAGATCTTTTCATGTAGTTTTTAAATATGTAATTTTTATTTTTTAATTTCATACCATATTTCATATAAAATGATTTGAAAATAATTTCAGTCAAACATTGTAACGTGCAATGGGAACTTTATTTGTGGATGGAGGGAGTAGTTTGAACAATCATTGAAATAATGAGTCATTATCCATTTGCTAGTGAAAACATTCCCAATTCGTGTAGTAATTTCTATAATCAGTCATTATCCAATACTTGTTGCTAATGAGGGCATATATGCCAGATCATATGAAAATATGTGTCATAAAGAGTTGAAAACAGTCATTATCCAATCTTTTAATGATATACTCCATCCGTCCCACAAAACTTTTCTCCTTTCTTTTTTCATTCGTCCCAAAAAACCTTTTTCATTTCTATTACTCCGTAAAAAATCACTTTTACCCTTACTAATTCTTAACCTACCTATCCGATCACATTTTTTACTATTAATCTATCCATCACATCCAAGGGTATTTTTGGATAGTTTACACCAAAATACACCTTTTTAAATTTTTTAAAAGTCAAAATGAGAAATGTTTTATAGGACGAAGGTTGTAGAAATTTAGCGAAAAACTGATCTGGTTTTCATTATTCTGCACTACGAACATATTCTCCCCAATAACACAATATCTACCGCCCAATTACAAATACCCGCGAACTAACACTCCCCGCTCAAGTTGGCGCATGAAGATCCTGAATGCCCAACTTGCACAATAAAAAATCAAATACGAGTTTTGACAAAGGTTTAGTAAAAATGTCTGCCAACTGGTAGCGTGTAGGGACATATCGCGTAGACACCTCGTGTCTCTGAACAGATTCACGAACTGTATGACAGTCGACATCAATATGTTTCATTCCTTCGTGGAACACTGGATTTACTGCAATATATAAGGCTAATTGATTGTCGCAATACAACCGTGGAGGATATAAAATGGGAACGCATAAAGCACCTAGAATACTGTGCATCCACCGTATTTCCACGCACGCATTTGCCATAGCCCTGTACTCGGCTTTCGCAGATGATCTCGCCACAGTTGTCTGTTTCTAAGTTTTCCAAGAAACGGGAGAAGTACCCAGCTTAATGAAATACACACTAACCGACTGACGAGAGAGTGGGCAACTCGCCCAATCAGAGTCACAATAAGCTGTAATTTGAAGATTACTCGTGGCGCTAAAAAAGATGCCTTGGCCAGGGTGGCCTTTGATATATCGCAGGACACGCATGGCGGCGTTCATATGATCAAGAGTTGGTGCTTGCATAAACTAAGATAAAACATGAACAAAGTGACATATATTGGGGCGGGTGATGGTGAGATAGATCAACCGGCCGACTAGACGGCGGTATCGCGCTGGATCTTGTAGAGGAGGCGCCGCCGAGGTAGCGAGACCATGCACCGTCAGCAATGGGGTCCCTGCCAGTTTGCATCCTAAAAGGCCAGCCTCTTGTAAAATTTCCAGTGCATATTTGCGTTGATAGAGAACCATACCAGAAGGAGACCAAGCACATTCAATGCCCAAGAAGTATTTGACAGGGCCCAAATTTTTGAGTTGAAAACAACGGTCTAGATACCGTTTAAAGGAGGCACACAGCGACAGATTATTGCCTGCAACCAAGATATCATCAACATATACCAAAATTGTGAGAATATCATAACCACGTCGCAAAATGAATAAAGTATGGTCTTTATGAACATGTTTAAAACCCCAATGACGAAGAGCAGACCTAAGCTTGTGAAACCAGTTTCGCATAGATTGTCGCAAACCATACAAGGATTTGCAGAGATGACACACTTTCCCAGGAATAGAATACCCAGGTGGCAACCACATATAAACTTCCTCAATTAAATCCTCATTCAAAAATACATTATTAACATCAAGCTGATGAACCTCCCATTGTTTAGCCACAAAAATAGATACTCCCTCCGTCCCGAAAAACATGGGAGTTTTGATTTTGAAGAAGGATTTAAGGGGAGTGTATTTTGGTATTGAATTTCCAAAAATGTCCTTTGATGTGATGGGTAAAAGTATGATTTGATGGATAAATTATTAGTAAAAAGTTATGATGTGATAGGTAGGGTATGAAAAAGTAGGGGGTAAAAGTGACTTTTTAATAGAAATGAGATGTGTTTTTTGGGACGGATAAAAAAAGAAAGGAGAAAGGTTTTCTGGGACGGAGGGAGTATTAAAATACGTACTGTACCCATTTTAGAAACAGGAGCAAAGGTATCAGTATAGTCCGTACCAAATTCTTGGTGATTCCCCAAGACCACCACCAGGCATGCCTTATCCCGCTCCTTGGTACCATCAGATCGGAACTTGGTGCGAAATACCCGTTGACAACCCAACGCAATCCGATCAGGAGGGAGACTGTGATGTCTCAAGTATGATTCTTCTCCAAGGCGTCGACCTCCTGTTGCATAGCTAGCCGCCAATTTAAATGCTGCATAGCTTGCTTAAAACTCTTCAGAACTTCGTGTGAAGAAACGACAGCAAGATATCCACGGTACCTGTCATATAATTTCTCATAATAAACCAAGTTATGGATAGGATACTGAGTACATGAAGAACGAGAAGAGGTAATGGAGGGAGAAACATGAGTCAATGTTCGGGCTGTGTGACAGTAATAGTCAGATAAATGAGCAGGAGGACGACGTTCACGAACAAGACGGGGAGGCGACGGCGGACTGTCCGTGGCAGTCTCACCGTCACTGTTGGAGTAGGTAAGCGACTGCCTGGAGACGCTGGACTCAGGAGGGCTAGACGTCTGTGACGGTGTGGGTGGGTTGGTCGTGACGACAGTGAGCACGTCGGGGGGAACGATAGCTGGGGGCTCTGGAAAATCAGCGTGCTCATGCTGTGGGGAAGAGTTGGGTGGGACGCGTGAAGGATTAGAGATAGAAAATGGAAAAGTGGTTTCATCAAAAGAAATGTCCCAAATATGAAAGAAACGGTGAGACTCAAGATCATAAACATGCCAACCTTTAGTTCCCGTAGGATAACCCACAAACATACATTTAACACTACGCGGGTGGATTTTATTGACTGGACGTTGTACATTACAAATAAAACATAAACACCCAAATACCCGAAGATGAGACAAGTCTAGAGGTTGTGAAGAAAGTAGTTCGTAAGGAAATTTACCCTGTAAAAGAGGGGTAGGAGTGCGATTAATGAGATATACTGCAGTACAAACACATTCTCCCCAAAACTCAATAGTCAAAGAGGCCTGAAACATCAAAGAGCGAGCAACATTAAGGATATGACGATGTTTGCACTCGACTCGACCATTTTGTTGTGGTGTGTTAACTAAGTTTGAACAAGAACCCCATGCTTTGATACCATGTAGAAATTTAGCGAAAAATTGATCTGGTTTTCATTATATTGCAGTACGAACACATTCTCCCCAATAACACAATATCTACCGCCCAATTGCAAATACCCGCTAACAAAGGTAATATGAAGTAAATTTTTCTCATGATATACATCATCGTTTGACGTGTGTAGTACACTTAGCTTCCATTTTTTTCTTTTGAGAAAATTATTTAAATATATATTTGTGGTATGAAGTAAATTATATACTTGTAGTGTGATGTAAATTACTTAATTAAAGATCTACATCAGCTGTTCTTGTCACATAAGATTAAATCTAATTTTATTATGTTTTTATTCAATCTAATATGATTTGATCTAGTTAGAATTAATTTTAATAAAAATAAATTTTACTCTCTTCGTTTCTAAAAAAAAGTTTCTAAGTTGACTAATAAGTGAAATACAAAATGTATATTTGTAGTTGACTTTTCAATTTTGTCTTTGATGTGATGTGTAAAAAATAAAATGTGATAGTTAGATTATTAGTGAAAAAGTATGATGTGATAAGTAGGGTTAGAAAAAATAAGAATGAAGTTAGGTTTTTAATAAAAATGGAAGTGTTTTGGAGAAAATAAAAAAAATAAAAGAGGAAATGATTTAAGAAACGGAGCGAATATGAGAGTAAGTAATATGAATACATTTATTTAAAAAAATATAATTGAGGTATGAAAACAACTTAAACAAGAAATGTCAAAAAAAGATAATGGAAGGCACATCCAATTCATTTTTGTTGAATACTCCGTATTATTAGTGCCTAAAGAAAGCAACTTTCTTTTGTTAGGAAGTAGATGTATCCTACTTCCAATTAACGATTGGTTTTGACTTTTTCAAATAAAAATAGATAACATTCGATAATAAATTTATATATTGGAACTTAAAACTCAAATGAATACTACAAAGTACAAACTTTAAAAAATTGAACAAAAAACAAATTAAAAAGGAAATAAAAAATCTAAAAACTAAGGAAACTTAAAGAAAAATAAAAATAATAAAAATTTAAAGTCGGAGGATACAATTGTAGGGGGTGGGAGGTTCGGGTCGGGAGCGGGGTGAGGGGATTTGTTAGAGAGTTAAGAGAGATAGGAATCATCAATTTTACGAACAGAGCACCGTAGTATTTCCAAATCATACCAGGGAAAAAGACAAAAGTAAGAGTAAAATATTGAAAATATAACAAAATAGGACTTTCATGTTTTTGTTCTCAAAATAGAAGTTAAAATGTGTTTACATACCAAAGATGTTCATGTACATTATCAAAAAGTATAGTAACGTGCACATGTACAATGGCAGATTACCACAGTGCGAACTCCTATTTCGAGAATACAAATATGAAACTCTTATTTTTATATTTTTTATGTTTTATTCCTATTTAGGGTGATTTCCCATCATACCAAAACATTGATAATCAATATCATGATAATCGTCCCCAAATAACAAATTAAATCTAGAGAAATTTGCCTAAATAGGACTAAAACATAATGACTTTCCCAATATAGGACCATATGTTTTTATTTTTCAATGTAGGACCTTTGGTCATTATGAATTAGTCATTATTCAAGTAAATGTCTATTATTACTGGACATTATTCCTCCCACTAGGTCATTATTAAGTTCTATTTAGAGAATAAAAAAGTTTAAGTCCTACATTAGGAAAGTCATTATGTTTTAGTCCTATTTAGGACAAATTTCACTTAAATCTACTCGTGAATTTTTAGTATTTAAAAAATGGGTCGTCAAAACTAAGTAGCCCTATTCAAATGAACCTGTTGCACACCTGGGCCAGCCTCCAAGCGTAATGGCCATCCCACAAATACCCACTTTCTAGTTTGTTCTCAATGATTGGTTGCTTCCATTGTATTGGAACAGTTTTTTCGATTAACGCTAGCATTTTAAATAAAATTTTAATAGTGTGGATTAATTTTGAAAACTCTAACGCTAAAGGCTACTGTTCGATAACCTTTTTCAAAACGCTAACTTTTAACGCTGATGTCAAACGGACCCATTGTCTATGTCTTTCTAAAGTAACACTTTCTACATTATGTTTAACATTTTAAAAAAACTATTGAATACCTAGGGTCTATTTAAAAATAGCGTTAGAGTTTAGCATTAGCATTTTGAAAAAGCTATCAACATGTAGCATTTAGCGTTAGCGTTCTCAAAGTCAATCTGCACCGTTAACATTTTATCCAAAATCCTAACACTAATAAAAAAATGTCATCCCCAAACGGACCTCTAATATCATTAAATATTTTTTAAAGCGTTAACATTAATAAAAAAGAATTATACAAAATATGAAAACAAACTAAAAATATTATTCTTGAACGAAACAAAGTCTAAATCTCCAAACACTTCTTAAAGCCATTGGAACATTGTTGGTTGGTAGCTAAAACTCTCTACGATGGCCACATTATCCATCATTCCCACATGCGCTCTCATTAATTCCACACCACCATTATTTTTTATTTTGTAAAACAAATTGATTTTATTATAATAAAAATTATAATTGAATAAATAAATAATTAAAAAATTCTATTAATTGAAATTAATAAAAATAGAAATATTTGCACTAAATAGCACCAAAACTTAAATCATTTTCTTAAATAGTACTTAAACAGTTTTATTCTCTAAAAAACACTTAATAATGACCAAAAGGAAGAATAATGTCCGGTGATGACAAATATTTACTAGAATAATGACTAATGACTAATGAATAATGATTAAAAGTGCTACATTGGGAAAAAACACATGATGATATTTATGAAAAGACATGTTTTAGCACTATTTTAGTAAATTCCCCATAAAAATAACAACCAAACTTAAAAAATCGAATCGGTAGAAACATGTGATAGGTTTTAAAAAAATGAAATAAAAAAACAAGTTTAATTAAATTGGTGGCATATTTGATACTCCGTATTAGGAAGAATACATCTGGGAAATAGGGTCATTTGCCCTGAAATCCTGGAAAAGTGGGAAGTCTTATGCTGTAGATAACAATCACAATAGTGCAAACCCAAAGAATGACTTCAAGAACAAAATCCCCAAAAAGAGGAAGAGAAATAAAAATCTCATTTCCATTCCTTTCAATGCAAGACTTGCATGCCTCGCCGTGAAAACACAAAAACGAAAGAAAAAAATGTGCTTCAAGAGTGAAGAATGACGGGTCTGGCGAAAAAAATACGACCATCACAGCTAAAAGTACAAATCCCCACGACTGAACACGGCTTCTTCACTAAAAACTCTTGCCTAAAGTGAATTGTGGGATGTACAATGGCAAAAAGATGCTCAAAGGAGATGAAGAGCATTTTTTTGTACCAAGAGAAAGATGAGATCTGTTGCACCTGTCATGCTATGCTGGTGCAGCAAGTCCAACTCTGTCTGCAGTTTTAGCAGCGCACTCCTTTCCTGTATCTATCACATCCGGTCTCTCAATCCCTTTTATATCCGTTATCCTCAACTTTGTTAATTCCTATACAAAAAGTTTTTCCCAGAAATGAACTCTAGTAGTGACATTCGGCTAGACTGATTTGAGTCATATGACAGCAGAGGAATAACACACACACACACACAGACACGCACAGACACACGCGTCTATGGTTAAGTAACAAGACATGTAAAGTATTACAAGTTACCAACCTGGCGATGCCCCCGTGTTCGTCGGTAGTTCTTCCGTCTTTTTTTCTTAAATATGATCACTTTTGCATCCAACGCCTAAACAAAAATGGAAAGAGATAAATTATTACTATAAATGTATGTTTGTGTGGAAAAAAGACCAAGTGCCCATTTAGTAACAGGCTTGTTTGGCTGAAATGGCAGAACCTTTGGAATTTTCTGAAACGAAATGTGTTTGGTCACTTTGGTAATATCATTTCAGCCAATTAACTTGTTTTTTTAAAGGCATTCTGCTTGTTTTGCTAAAGGCTACCAGATGGACCCTTAAATTTTTCCGGTATGTTGCTGCTTATGTATTGTGTTGTTTCACATAGCAAAACAGTTGCAAATCTCAAAAAGACAATCACATTGAAATAAAGTTGACACCAGTCATACCACATAAGTGCCACATAAAATAAGTCTGCCACCCCCAAAGGCCCCGATAATCAATTCCCATATATGGATGAATTAGTTCGAGCCCAATAGAGCTAAAGAGTCATTTTTGACTGTTTTATTTTTGGGTGAATAATGGACTAAAGAAAAATAGCACATTAAACTCCACTTGCTTCTTACTTTCTATGAAGTTTTTGGGAGTATATGCATTGATGCATCAACAGCCTAAGAAAACAGCCTCTATGTTTTTACACGGGTAACACCCCCCCCCCATCTGAGCTGGGATTATACAGGATTATTTGTTGTTGCGCTTGTTGTTGGCGTTGATGAAATAACTATATCACATGATAGACAACGGATAATGAATTCAAGTGCAAATATGAGCTTTTGTATAAACAGATTTTTCATTTTTGTAACAGGCAGTCCTTAACAATAAAGAAACTCATAGTATAAAAACTTAGGATTGTGGCTAAGGAAATATGCACAGCCATATTGCCATAGTGCTACATGGATCAATGTGTATATCAGCAACATTTTCAAAAACAATAATCCCACCGTCCCTGAATTAACTTCACACTTACCATTCACAAGGTCAAATTACTCCCTCTGTCCCTCTAAGATCTTCTCATTTTGACTTTATGTGGTTTTTAAGGAGAGTTGAAAAAGGGTAAAAGTTTACAATAATACCCTTAATGAAAATGAGTGGAGTGTATTAAATAAGGTGGGTGAGGTGTAATAAATAAAGTAAGTGAGGGTAGTTGTGGTATTTTGATTGTTAAAAGATGAAATGAGAAGATCTATTGTGGACAAAAAAAAGGTCTATTGGGAAGATCTATGGGGGATAGAGGGAGTATATATTTTCTACTTGTTTATTTAATATGATCCTTTGTTACAATAAAATAATAATGTCACATATTGTTTTATAGAAGTTTTGATGTAGTTTTTAAGTATACAAATTTTATTTCTTAATTTTACACCAATTGACTCTTGGAAACAACCTCTCTAGTCTCTACTTTCGAACTAGGGGAAAGGTGTGCGTACACTTACCCTCCCAAGATCCCACTCTGTCAGATTTCATTGAGTTTGTTGTTGAATTTCACGCCATTATTTAAATAGATTGAATAGAAAATAACTTCAGTTGAACACGGTAAACCAAAATGTGAAGATATTATGGATGGATGGAGTACTTAGTTCAATGACCTTGTTCAGCATGAGTTTTCAGAAAGGAGAAGCTCATATAAGAAACTTCGTAAAAAATCGAGTTAGAAATAATTACGGAGTATGAGATAATCAAGGTATCTTACATGCTCCTCCACAACAGCATGAACAGCTGCATCAGGTAATATGGGCCGCCCTATTATTGTCTTTGCCTTAGAGCCCAACAGCATAACCTTGTTCAGGATCAACTGAATCACATATATGATACATATGATCAATTGGAATGAAAACAAATATTCATTTGGGGGCGGGAGTGGGGGGATCAAAATGAGAATATGCATACACACATGTAAAATGATCTTAGCCACACACCACAAATCCACAATAGAAAATTTCTACATGCATTTTACCATTTTCCTACAATGACAATTCCATCTTAATTAGAAATGCAAAAAGGTTTTGGAAAGCTAACATGTGGAACTTATTAACATCCTTCAGTGTTCCACAGAGTACTAAGAAGCGCACAACACTTCTTAATGCTGGAAAGTTGGACCATAAATTCAAATCTGCACTCCTACTCAGATTTCAAATTCTTCTTACAAGTAGTTCCTACAATGACCATTATATGCTATAGGAGTTTAGGAAATAGAACATGTTAAACCAATGACTTATACAAAGTATCAAAAGAAAAATGCTAACCCCAGTCACTGCTGCATTTCTGTTTTTAACAACCCAACAGACGGAAAACTAGAAAAGAAAGTGGCACTAAAATGTAAAGGTTGTATAAATTATTTGTCAGGTTATTCTATTAATCCGTGTGTTATACTATTAAAAACAAATGATGCCCAGATTGAAATAACCTCCATTCCACCCAAATGATTATATTGGTTAAAAACAGATAGCTACCAACCATTTTAAAGTGAGATTTGAATTCAGTTCATTTTCAGCTGATCGTTTGGCCGATCCCCTATTCTACAGGATATGCTACTTTTAAGAGACCTACATGTTTTCTTTACATTGCACCAGCAAAAACTACTTGTAATTACTCATACAAAATATATACTCTGTTGATAGCTAAGAAGAAAATCCAAGAAAAATGAATGTCACCTTGTCACTGACATCACAGTACTTCAATCTTTCCACGAAAATGCTATCCCCATTGCTCACTTTAAATTGGTGCGACCCAATCTAACATTACAAACCAGATAACAGCGTAAAAGAAAGACATTTTAATCCTATTTTAACATACATGGCGCCAAGCCTGATTATACACAATGTGCTCATTGTGCTGATAACTCATACCTGAACAACAGCAAAAACGGGCTCGTAAGGTTTGAAAACCCGATCTGATTTCTCAAGTGGCCCGATCACCTTGTATCCAATGTCAGCTGCCTCTTTGATCTTATCCTGGGGACTCTTCGGCCCACTATCAGCCCCCGAAGCACCCTCATTGTCCTCATCATCACTGCCGTCATCAAATTCTTCTTCGCTATCATCGCCTGAGGAATCGCCATTTCCACTGTTGTGCTTGGAACAGAAGCTCCGAGATAGAAATAGGTATTGTGAGTGTGATTTTGTTGAAATGGGGAGACATTCTTCGGAAGAGGTTATAGTTCTAAGGGAATTTAGAAACGCCGGGCTTAAAGCTTTCAGAGACTTGAGAAATGGATCTGGAGACACAGCTAAGGAAGAGGATTGCCGAATGAGAAGTTGAAGACAACGTCGAGTAGCCATTGTTTCCTGGTTTTGGAGCTTTTCAGGCTTTAGGGTTTTACGGCCAGCGACACACCCCCTTTTTCCCAATTGGTTTTAACACACTTTTTTTTAAATGTGTTTTTTGTTATCCTCAAATACTCTTTTTTTTGTTTACTTTTTTTGTCAAATACTCTTTTTCTACTTCAAAAAAAAAAAATTACTCTCTTCCTCCTAAAAAAGATTGTAACGTTAGGCTAATCAAAATAAATTTTTGAGTTTTTTCAATGTATTTTTTTAAAAGTTGATATAGAAAAATAGAATATTTAAAAATTACGTGAAAAATTCTACAAAATAAGATATGACAAAAATATGTCATTTTATCAAATAGTCAACAAAAATGTAAAAATAAACAAAAATTTCCGTGATTTTTAAATAGTAAAGTGTGGTAATCTTTTTGGGACGGAGAGAGTATTATAAATTTTGACTAAAAATTATGAAAAAAGCCCGTCAAAATCTAAAATTAGGATACATTTGGCTAGAGGAAAACATTTTCGACAAAAAAGAATTATTTTTCATTGAAAGTTATTTTTCCATCATATTTTTATTATTTGGTAAAAAATATGAATAACTCTCAAAAAAACATTCAATATATTTTTTCATCACATTCTAAGTTGTTAATATTTTAACATTGATATCTAAAAATACTTTTCAATAAAATTTAAATATATTTGAGTAGCATGGGATCGTAAAATGGAAAGGACAACATGGAGAGTGTGGCACAAGTGATGGGGAGTAGGTGGTAGGGGGACTGGTGGGGAATGATGGCGCNGGTAGCTAGGTAGGATGGGGCGCGAGGTAGGGATAGGGGCGCGGGGTAGGAGAGGGTGGGGTAGAGCGGGGTGGGGAGAGTAGAGACATGGGGTGGGCGAGGGCAAAGACTAAGAAATTTCTTTCGAAAGTATACGGAAAATATTTTTGAGAAAAAATATTTTTCCTTACAGTATTGAATTTCAAATATTTTGGAAAAATATTTTTTTAATTGGAATACTAGATCAAAAAAGGATAGGCCTAGTTCGATTTTGATCGTATTTCAATTTGATTCGAGTCCAAACCGAATAATATACAAGCATAGATAACGACCCAAGTTTAAAATCATGGAAGACAATGATGCTATTTACCTAATAAAAAATACTAGGGGTACACTTGGTGTATTCCAAATGCACACCATTACATCTCTACCACACAATCTCAAGTGTGGAAAACAAAATAAAAAATAATAAAAATTCAATGGTGAGGACGAATGGTGTGCAAATGGGTACACCGTACACCAATGGGGTACCCAAGGCTAACCTGAAAATATGAAAAAATGAGATTGACCCCGTGTAAAATTCACATGTTTGGTCTTATTTTATTTTTTAGAGAACTTCTGCTTTAAAAGAAGTGCTTAATTTGATTTTTAATAACCATTTTTATAACAACTTGAATAGTAAAATACAAATTTATATTAAATTTTAAAATAACAAGTAATTAAAATAATGAACATCTAAAGATATGGAGTCCTAAAACTTTGAACGACATGTACGAGTAGACACTTTGTATACGGAGTACTTCCGGGGTAGCCCACAGCTAGCATGACATTGAGTCATGTACATGTAGTGCTTACCCGAATTTGAAATAACTCAAACTTAAAGTGATTGAACTCAAAACCGACCTAACCGACCATTTTTGGCCTGTTTGGAAATGACGTTAGCGATCAGCGTTAGCGTTTTGAAAAGATTATATACAGGCAGCATTTAGTGTTAGTGTTTTCAAAATAAATTGCACCGTTAAAATTTTGGACCATGCTAGGGTGCCACCACATGGATGCTACCATGGGTGCACCCATGCTTCGCACAGACAAACACAGACGATAATTGTCTGTGCGACACAGACAATTATCGTCTGTGTTTATCTGTGCGAAGTATGAGTGCACCCATGGTAGCACCCACGTGGCCCTAGCATTTTCCTAAAACTTTATCAAAAAGCTAAGGGTAATGTCTAAGGCGTTGTCCCCATGTCCACCAGTATATATCCGCTCCTGTTCACGGTATTTATCCACGCCACCCTTCCATCATCATCCTCCTCCTCATCATCATCCTCATACAGAGCACGTATATCATACATTTCATCTTTTTCAATCAAGTATATATACGCGAGTGCATAGTCTCTCGAGTTGAGAGTTGAATACTGCTGCAATTAATGGAGTTTTGATTCTCTCTCCCTCTCTCTCTCTTGTTTGAACGGAAGCTAAAAGAGGGAGGGGAAGATTGAAGGAGAACAAATTTCTGTCTATTTTTTCTCAGAATCTTCTGTTGAACGGAGAGGTTATATCATCTGGATTTGCCTTTTCGGTTAGTCGTTTATATTCTGATCTGTTTCCGGTTACCAGAACTCTTTTCCCAGTTATTATACCCCTGAATCGAGATTTTTTTTCTTCGTTCGTTCTGGATTTTGCATTGGATAAACGATTAAATCCGTCTGTTAATGTTGTTAATCTCGATTTTGCATTTGAACTCTCATTCTCTCTTCTTTTTTTCGTTGTTTATTCAGTGATGTATTTAGTTAATCCAATCTATTTGAGTGTTTTCAATTTGTCGGACTCTGTGTGGGATTCTTCTCGATAAAAGATGAAATTCGTCTGTTTTTTCCTCTATCTGTTTGTGTTTTTTTTCCTCTTTGGTAAAGAAATACGGAGTATATGCACTAATTGACACTTGACAGCATCTTTGTTCATTGGAGATTGAAATTTTATGATTTTTCTGCTCATGGGTTTGCAGGATTTTTGCATGCTGCATTGATGGTTGAATATTTTTCTTCTTCAACTGCTTTGATGAGGTCGGGGAGAATATTGACATGCGAAACTACATATCATATCTGTGTTCTGAAGGGGATTGCTAAGTGCATACCTCAAGCCGAGCAGGAGAAGAACTTATTTCGCAGCACTTATAAGGTGATTTAGTTTGGTAGGGAGATGGATGAAGAGGCAAACTCTTGGATAAGGAGAACAAAGTATTCTCACACTGTTTGCCATAGGGTAAATTCAGCCAGAATGGCCTCTCTTCCCGTTACCATTCAGCGAGGGCGAAATCCAAGTCTTAAATCAAGGCCTCCTGTTGCAGAAAACCTACGCGATCCTACCACTAGCAAGCAGAGGGCGTCATCTCCTCTTCCTGAGATGAAACTTTCTGAGGCCTTTAAGGAAGCTCATTCTAGTCAGAAGAGATTCTCAACACCTCATCCAAGGTGGAAGGAACAAAAAGTATGTTCTAATTCCCCATTAATTACTGGTCACCTTCACCATCCGCCATCAAGTAGGTTCCACGATAAAACAAAAGGCAGAAAGGAATCCAGTTGGACTAGGTACTTTGATCACGGCGGTGGAAAAGTTACCTCAGTAGGTTCAGCAGAGGATTTCATGATTGATCTTTCTAAGCTTTTCATTGGGCATAAATTTGCTCATGGAGCACATAGTCAGCTTTACCATGGGATATACCATGGCAAACCTGTTGCAGTGAAAATCATTCGAGTGCCAGATGATGAGGATAACTGTGATTTAGCATATCGGTTGGAAAATCAGTTTAACCGGGAAGTTACGTTACTGTCCCGTCTCCACCATGATAATGTTATAAAGGTTATGATCTGCACTGGATTTAAATGCTTAATGCATCTATTTGCACATTGTTTACTGTTTTTGTTGTCCTATTTTACATTCATCTCATGGCAGATTTCTTCATCCCCTCTACAAGTTACTTGGATTTGCTGCCTATACAGATTAATGCCCTGTTTGGTAGTTTTAAATGAATAAATGACTTATTCAGCGTAATTGAAGCAGAATTTTAGCCTTTTACATACTCATTTTGCTAAAATTGATTTTACTAAACACTTTTTGTTTCAGAAATTTCGTTATATTCAGCCAAAAAACCCTTGGCAAATGGGCCCTAACACCGAGAACTGTATTTCTCAAAAACTTTTCTGGTTGGTGTCTAATTGTTTGTTGGTGCAGTTCATAGGTGCATGCAAAAAACCATTGGTGTTCTGCATTGTCACAGAATATCTACCAGAAGGCTCTTTGAGAGGATTCCTACACAAGCTTGAGCACAAAGCTCCACCCTTACAAAAACTGGTTTTGATGGCATTGGATATTGCAAGAGGGATGGAATTTGTTCATTCTCAAGGTATCATTCATAGGGATCTCAAACCAGAGAATATACTTATTGATGAGAAGTTTCATTTGAAAGTAGCTGATTTTGGAATAGCCTGTGAAGAGGCATATTGTGATTTCCTTGTTGATGATCCGGGCACTTACCGTTGGATGGCTCCTGAGATGATAAAACGCAAGTCATATGATCGGAAGGTTGATGTGTATGGTTTTGGACTCATTTTGTGGGAAATGGTGACTGGGTACATCCCTTACGAAGACATGATTCCAGTTCAAGCTGCTTTCGCTGTAATCAACAAGGTATGTAATGCTCATTTGGTTCCAACTTCCAAATTAGATATTTTTTTTAGCCAAACACAAAAAAAAAATTACCCATATTAAGTATACCTACATTAAAATGCTTTTGTACCCTGATAATAAATGAAATGCATAATGTTATACTTGAATAAGGGTAGAATGGTCATTTTTAACGGTTCTCTAATATGTTTTCACATTGCACTCTCCTAAAACTTCAATTAGAGGGAGTACATTTATTTTCTGGAAACAGATCCTCGATTGGTCCAGATTTCTTTGAAATATGAAGATCCACGGAAGTCAAATTGGACCAACCATAGAGGGTCTGGATCCATGTTTCCTTTTCTGGTTCAAACTCTAAAAACACAATGTTTCCCATCCAACAGAATATGAGACCAACTATTCCGGTGGACTGCCCCTCTGCCATGAAAGCTTTGATTGAACACTGTTGGTCTTCACAACCAGAGAATAGGCCTGAGTTTTGGCAGATTGTTAAGATTTTAGAGCAGTTTGAATCTTCGCTTGCTAACGATGGGACCTTGAACCTAGTGCATGGCGTAACATTTCGAGATCATAAAAAAGGGCTTCTTCATTGGATACAGAAGCTTGGTCCTGTGCATTCAGATTCTTTTTACATTCCAAAGCCTAAATTTGCTTGATCTTTTTTGGATGACCTGGGATATTATTAGTTTCTCCAGGCATCATTGTAATAAAAAATAGTTCTCATGTGTCAAGCTGTTTTTCTTTTTTTTAATTCTTGTATATCCCTTATCTGCTCTATGTAATGTGAATTGTTAGTAGTCCCACATTCAAGTTTATATCGTGTCATGGGTTAAACTAGCTCATAAGTTGAGTTTGACTTTAACATAGAAGTGTGAGGTAAACATTAGATCTTGGAGGTTACTTTGGGATTAATCTCCATACCTTTAGTTCTCTAGCCTAGCTTGGATGGGGGGGGGGGGTGTTTGAGGATCTCTTTAGTATAAGTTAGACACAATTAACACAAATGATTAGGCCATAGGAATTATGGATCTTCCCCACATTTTGGGAATCTCCACTTTTATCTTGAGATGCATTACCGGGTAGCAAGCAATCACACAGGCATGTTATCTTGAGCTTCATTAATTGCCCATACCTGTCGAATGCAATGCATTGATTTGTTTTCATTTTAAAATAACATTGGTGTCCCCAGCTACCCAGCATCCAATGGGCTGCCAGATAAATGCATGAATGATGTTCATGCAACACACACAAATAATCTGGCTCTGATACCACTTGTTGGGGATTAAACACGCAACACACACAAATATCTGCGAGAATCAAGAGAGAAATGGAACACAAACGACACACAAGAATTTAACGTGGTTCGGTTTCCCTAATCCACGGCTGCAACGGGAGGATTTTCTTATTTCACTTGTGGTGTAGATTACAAGTACAAGAATGCAATATAATATATATAGGAAGAGTGCATCTAGGGTTTCGTAAAATGGGTCAGGCCAAAAGTCAAGCCCAAGCCTCCACAAACCCAACATATGCCAGTGCCAAATGACACCGTTTCGGCATTTCCAGGTCGCCATGATGATAAAGAAGATGAAAGGAGTATTGAATCATGAACCAGGATAATACCCAAAAAAACCAACACACAGGTTCAAACAAATTTTTTGTAGATTCAAAAATGTTTTTCAATGTAATATTTTTCGGGATTAAGAAAATTATATTTCTAACACGATTTTTTAGTAATACAAACATCAACGTCAAAGTAGTATAAATAATATTTGAAACATTACAAGTGTATACAACAAAGTCTTGTTTAAATTTATTTTTTTTGGAAAAACTTAAGGGTATACAACATTTTTGTTATAATTGCGAGAGTTTTCATTGTCATCTAGAACTAGCATTTTCAGTCATGTCTGTCTTTACTCGTAAAACATTAATATAAAGGCCTTGTTTGAGAATAGCGTTTTCGATTAGCGTTAGTGTTTTGAATAAAATTTTAATGATGAAGATTAATTTCGAAAACACTAAGGCTAAAGGCTACTGTCGAATAGTCTTTTCAAAATGCTACCGCTAATTTCTAAGCTGATGCCAAATGAGTCCAAAGTTGGCCATGAGTGAATACTATCTTGGTTAAAAATAATTCAACAAAAATAATGTTTGACCGTTACTTTTGTTAATAGTCATTGACTTAGACATAGACTTAAGTTGTGTTCCGTTCGCCTGATCTGATTTGATTTTTGAAGATCTGTCTTGTCTAGTCTGATTTGATCTTGTGTGATATGATCTAATTGCAGTTATAATTAAAGTTGTTTCTGATCTGGTCTGATATAATCTGATTATATTCCGTAATAAGAATAAGTAATAAGTAGAAAAAAGAAGTTGAATGGAACTTTGCCTTAGACCTGACAAAACAGAACTAGAACTGATTACTCGAACAAAATTATTCAAAACCAGAACTGAAATGATTCGAAAAATAAAGACTCAATCTATAATCGTAAACCCGAAATGATCTAAACTGAACTGAAATCGAACGTAATAATTCACACCCGATTTAAATCTGAAACCGATTAGATGTGAAATTGATCATATCTGAATTAATTAAATCCGAAATTGATAATACCCGAAACTGATAAAACTTGAAACCGATTAGAAACGAAATCGATCATATCTGAACCCGAATAGAACTAAAAATGATAAAATTCGGACGAGTAGTTTCCTTTCAATAAGCATATTATACTTTTAAATTTTTATTTTTATTTTACCATTTGAACTAATTAGGGGGCATTTGGTTAGGGAATAAAGAAACAGAATGGGATTCCCTGATTCCCTTTGTTGTTGTTTGTTTATAAAAAAATCATTCCCTTTCCCCACTTTTAGGTTTTTGATTACCCAATTTAGGTTTTTCCCATATCGGAAGTTCAAGAGCAAAAATCACTAAAAAGTTGTATATTAATAATTTCTTATGAATTAAATGAAAGTAAAAAATGAAAAATAAATATCAAGTGTGTGTGTGTGTGTGTGTATATATATATATAGGAAAAACTATTTTCAAACAGCTAATTTTACCAAACATTTTTAACAATCAGCTAATTCATCCTGCCGGTGAAACCAACTAAACTAAACAGTCATTTACAACAACTGACACAAACTGACAACCGCCAACATCCAAACAAAGCCAAAGTAAAAACAATTAGATGAAGGACGACATGTGGCATATGTCATGCATACATTCTCTAAGTATTACGCAGCCCCGTTTGGCATGAGTTTCAGAAATTAGCGTTAGCGTTTTGAAAAAGCTATCCGACGGTAGCCTTTAGCGTTAGCGTTTTCAGAATTAATCTGCACCGTTAAAATTTTATCCAAAATGTTAACGTTAATTGAAAACTTTGTTACCAAACGGAGCTATAGTATACTAATATGCATTTGACCATTTTAAAATATATATTTCTAATATGAAAAGTACATAATTAGTTTGGTATATAAACAATATTATTTTTATAAACTTCATTAATACTTCAAAAAGCAAATTTATGGATTATTAAACTATTCATTAATACTTCAAAAAGGAGTATTTTCTTTTTTACTACTCCCTCCGTCCCAAAAAACATGGGAGTTTTGGTTTTGAAGAAGAATTTAAGGGGAGTGTATTTTGGTACGGAATATTAAATTTCCAAAAATGTCCTTTGATGTGATGAGTAAAAGTATGATTAGATGGATAGATTATTAGTAAAAAGGTATGATGTGATAGGTAGGGTATGAAAAAGTAAGGGGTAAAAGTGACTTTTTAATAGAAATGAGAAGTGTTTTTTGGGACGGATGAAAAAAGAAAGGAGAAAGATTTTTTGAGACGGATGGTGTATTTTTCAATAGCCGAGGGGAGTGCGGAATTTTACCTAAGCAGTAAAAAACAAATAATCCTTTACATTAAGATGTAGAAAAAAACAATACATCTACATTAAAAAAACTTCTACATATATCTTATAGCTAAAAAATATTTAACACACATTATTATTTTTTTAAATAACTAATATAAACATAATTTTATTAATAGAATGTCAAAAATTTAGACATTATTATTTCTAATAAAGCCCGAAATTAAGGAAACAAAAACGTACATAAAATCAAAATGAGAAATGATTAGGCCTTAAATTTCGGAAAGACAAACCTGCGTTAAGTCAAAAAGAGAAATGATAAAGGCTTGTTTGGATAGAAAGGTTTTATTACAATAAGTTTTATAAATAATTTCTAATTACATGTGGTTTTCTATATTCACTTCTGTTTTAAGATATTGCACGCATGAGCTTTAATTTGTGAAAAATATTCTATAATCAATTTTGTAGGGTTATATGTACAAAAAATATTTTGTCATGTTTGGCTTAAAAGATTGTATAAGGAATATTTATAAAAAATTGAAGACTATTCATGTAATATCTTAGAATTGAGAACTAAACATAAAAAACTAATTATCTGCAATTGTGGATCATTTATAAAATTTACTCTTTTTATTAGCGTTATTTTTTGTTTAATTTTGGGTAAAGTGTTTACTTGGTCCCTATATTTTTTCAAAACTACTTCCGAATTGAAGTCCTTGAATTATTTTAACTACTTACAAGGTTTCTATATTTTTTTTAAAGTGTTGCACAGTTCCCTAAAATACTTTTAGTGTTTATGTGACCCCTATTCTTTTTTAAGTGTTGCGTTAGTGGTCGTTTCGATGGCTTTTTCCAGACCAAATTTTCTAAATTTGTTTTAAGAATTGACGTTATATCATAAATTTTTGAACAACTTCTGTGTATTGTTCAAACAATATATGCACATTTGATCTAAAAATACCACCTAAATGACTACTTACACACAAGTTAGAAAGTACATTATATGGACATGGTAAGAACTAAAAATAAGTTAGGGACCTATAGAGCCCTTTCAAAAATTATCTCAAATAATCTCAATTTTTCACGTTCTTGTAAAAATAATTCCACTTTTTACTGTCCTTGGAAATAATCCCACCTTTTCGCATGCATATATGCGAGTTTAATTTTGGGTTGAATGGCCACTTAACAATTTTTTTAGAAAATGCATGGTTTTTGCAAATAAATGAAAGACATTATTATTTTAGGTAAATCTTCTTTTTTTTGGTTTTTTAATTTTAAACATTAAATTTAAATGTATCTTTTAAAAATGTTTTTATAAACAATACTCCACCAAATTAAGTGTTTTTTAGAGCAAAACTATTTATTTTTTCAATAATCGATAATCTGGTAATAATTGAACAATAAATTATTTTACACAATGAAGCTAAGTTATTTATTACTTCATAACTCACTACATTTTTTGTAAGTTGCAATTATTTTTTTTAGCGACACTTCGAATTATTCTGTGATACTATACTATTATTACTTTTTTTAAAATGGTACTACAAAATTTGTGATTTTTTTGATAATTCTATATAAATGTTTTTTTGCAAACCAACATTACCACAGTTGAGAAAATAATACAATACATTTTTCTTTGAAATGGAACTTTTAGTTTTATAACTCAATACATTTTTTGTTGTATTGCAATATTTTAATGAACAATACTCTGAATGTTTATTGATAATCTTTTATTACCCGTATTCTTTTTTCTAAAAAGGAACTACTCAACTTGTGATTTTTTTCGATAACTATGTACAAATATTTTCCCCAAAATAATAATTCAAAAGTTTTGAAAATGGCATAACATTTTTTTCTCCATACTATACTAACTAATCTTATAACTTACTAAAAAAAATTTATATTGCAATTTCTGTCTCGAGCGACACTTTTAATCATTTTTTGATAATCCAATATTACACATCCCCCAAAACATAAAACAAAATTTTCAAATCATTATAGTATTTTTAAAAAAAATTTGAGACAGATCTCTAATAAGGGTGTACTGTATATTTTTAAAAACATAAATTTTCAAATTAAAACTTAAAAAAAGTAAATTTACCTAAAATAATCTCGGCTTTCATTTATTTTAAAAAACATGCATTTTCCAAAAATTATGTGAAGTGGCCTTTAGTTTTTTAACAGTGGCCCAAAACTTGTACACATGTAGAAAAATAGAATTATTTCGCTTTAGAAAAAATGTGAAAATTAAATGTGGAATTGTTTATGATAATTTTTCCTAATTTATTTCGATGCAAATCAATTTTGAATATTCTAAAGCGAAATGTTATTGTTATATACTCCCTCCGTTCTCAAAAACTCTTCCTCTTTCAATTTTTTACTTCCAACAAAACACTTCCACTTTCTATTAAAAAAACATTTTTACCCTTACTTTTTCATACCCTACCTATCATATCATATTTTTTCTCTAATACTCATTCCATCACATCTTACTTTACCCATCACATCAAGAGTAAAATTAGAAGTCAACTATAATTTAACACTTCATTATTTTTACACAAAGTCAAAATAGGAACACTTTTATAGAACGGAAGGAGTAGTTTTTCACAACTTAAAGCCCAAATGCTGAAGTGTCTAAACATGTCGAGAACCTCAAGGCTCAAATTAAGGGTGGGCAAGAATCTCAAAACTATTTTCCCGACCTAAAATATATCGGTCTCGTCTGTATAATGTCTTTTTTTGTTAGGGATGACAAATTTGTTGCAAACCCATTCTGAATCATTTTAAAACGGAGTAGGATAGGGACACATATATATTTTCCCGTTCCGTCCATTTGTCCCGTATATATGTATACATCTATTTATATATATATATATATATAAAGATATAACACAAAAAATCAAAATTTTATTTTTCATATAGATATAAAAGTATCCATATTCAAATATTCTAAAAAATAGACTAGAACAGGAACACCTAAAAGTGCATACCCTTCTAGTTCGATCTCCCCCAATTTGTGGCTCATAACTTTTATGAAGTTTATACGCTTTCCTTTTGAATTTATATCAATTTTCATATTTCCTTATTGTCTTTGCTTTTTTAGAACATTCTAAATAAATCTATCATTTTTCATTACTTTCCAAGTTAAAGTGGGTTGTCTTTGCCTTATGTATTTTATATTTTTATATTTAATTTCGGATAAAGACAAAGCAAGACAACTCGAATCCGTTTAGTTTTATCCTGACCCCGAATATTAAGGGGCCAAGAGGAATAATCTTGCAGCCCGAATCGCTCCGAACTATTTGGAAAAAATAGGACAAAACGCAAAACGGCATAAAACTCAAATTACACCGTCTTGACCCGTGCCCGCCCCTAGCTCAAACTACCAAAATATAAAACTGACGTAAAGTGAAAATGAGATGGACTAGAATCACAAACAAAAATGACAATTACTTCTGAACTTACATCTACTTTTTTTTTAATTTTTGATACGTTTTTACTATTTTAATAAAGTTTACAAATACTCTGTAATAAATTTGTAAATATTATGTCATTTTTGCTTCTGACCCTAACGTTTCTCAATTTGAAATACATACTACCTAATTGATTATGATTTATGAGAACACTTAACACTGTATAAAATTTTAAGTTACTCCGTAATTGTCTAACTTATACTCCGTAATTTAATACGGAGACATTGAATAAATTGTTATTACTAAAATGTATACGGCATATAGCGAATGGGTAATATTAATAGTCTTGAAAAATAGGAAATTAGTATTTCAAATCACCTAGGTTAAATAAAAAAGTTACAAAAGAAAAAAAACACATTAAGGTAGTGTTTGAAATCTTGAATTTCAAATGACAATGGGAGTCGCATGGATTTAAAATTAAGCTTTGTTATAAATGAGAAGAATTTGATTCGAATCCAAATTTAAAATTTGTAAGTTTCCCAAAAATGGAATTTGAGCCAAATCCGGATTTGAAATCCAATTCCATGTTTCCAAACATACCATAACAAAAAAATTAATTTACGGCAATCCAAAAGACAGAGAGGACTAGGGTCACGAGTTGGAGAGAGGTACGTTTAAGGAGGTAGAAATCATCCAAAATTGAAAAAGCCCTAATTTAGAATATATTCTTTAGAACTTAAACTCTTAATATTTAGTTTCTTCGAATTTTTTCCAGTTTTTTTCAGTTTTTCCAATTTATTCTAATTTTTTCAAGTTTCCAAACTATTCCTATTTTCTCCAATCTTTTTTTACTCCCAAATAAAGACTATAAAAATAAATTGCTTTTAATGTATAATTACTATTATTATTTGTATTATAATAAGTTTTATTGGCATTGTTACTACTATAGTTTCTAAATTATTTCAGTTTTTCTATTTTTATTTTTCTCATGTCACTATTTTGTGTTTCACACTCATTATTAATTTTATCCATTTCTAACATAAATAATACAGAATACAATTTTATTGGGAAAATTGTTTATTTTTTAAATTCACATGACACTAAACTAAGTTAAAAAATTATTGATATTTTATTAATCTGAATTAACCTGAGAAATATATCAATATTTTAAATTAGAAACTACGTAATAATTATGTTGTTCTCAGTTTCTAATATGGAGAATATAGAATAGTATTTTAAATTAGAAAATACGTACTAATCACATATACACTATTCACGTGATCGTATTTTATTCACTTTTTTTACCTATTACGAATATAATAATAATATAAATATAAATAACAACAATGACAATTACAAATCGCAATAAGCGGCGGATTTTTGCCGCTAAATTGCGCCTCAATTAGCGGCAGATCGTTCTCCGCCGCTAAATTGCATCTAAATCGCAATTAGGGGCTGATTTTTGCCGCAATTTGTGTAGTGAAAATTATTAAAATTTGATAAAATAAAACTCAGATGGTGAAATTTTCTTTTGGGAGTGAAAAAAGAAACATAGTGTAGGAGTATGCTGTGTAAAAAGGGGCAAAGAGAGAGAGTCAGGAGCAGAGGTTTTGACTTTTTGTTTGTTTTGTTTTTGAAGGTTAATTTTTGACTACTCATGCAGGGCACTTATTTTTTTCAGCTATAAATACACAAACCCATTGTTCACACCTTTACCACACTGCTTGTTGAGATATGGTGAAAATGGCTAATTCCCAATCTGCCCTTCCCTTCTTCTTCCTCATCTCATCACTCTTGCTCCTCTGCTCTGCCGTCTCAGTCCTTGCACGTCAAGCTCCCACTTTGACCCCTGCAACAGCACCTGCCTCCACCGCAACACCGCCGGAAGCCGCCCACACGAAGCCTCCACCACACCATGCAAAGCCTCCCACTGGCCACTCAGATTCCCCAGCTCATCCCCCTACCCATCCAAAAGACCACCACGACCACCACCTCCACCACCACGACCACCACCACCATCCTCCAGCTCCGGCAGACGCCCCCCGGAAACCAGGACCACACTCCACAGCTCCCGCCCCTCATCACCATTTCCACTCCGTTACCGCATAATCATCAAAAAAGTTTAATAATGCACGGAGTATGTTTTAGTTAAATAAATAGTTTGATTTAATTATTGTGATGTACTCCTAATTATATTTACTTTTTCATTGTTGAGTGGACTTATAACACTCCTTCAAGGTTTCTTGTTGGTTCTTTTCCTTGATGCCTTTGTTGAACCGACAACACTATGAATTTCATATGATTTCTATGTCTTTGAAGATTAAGAATTCCATATGATTTCTATCCCTTCCTATGAATTGTGTTTGTATTAACAAATCCCTATGTCTGAAAAGACTTTATACTGTGTACTTTATTTTTGACAACTTCTTTTTAAAATTATGGTCTAGTTTGATTTTTTTAATCAAATTAGACAAATTTTAACTATCAATTAAGTAAAATAATATTTCTATTATTTCAAAAATAATTTAATGAGATTTATCTTGACGTAACTTTCTAATTTTTTTTTTGTAATTTATTAATATCTAACACAAACTTAATACACAAAGTATTTAATAATTAAAGTTTATCTAATTTGATTCGAAAAATCAAACTGAATGAATACTCGAGAGCGTGCTTCTTATATTGTACTCCGTAATAAATACTCTGCATGTGCCTCATAAAAAATGTCTCATAATTTCTACTCTCATCTAACAAATCTTCACCATATATTTTTAATTTTAAATATTTTTTTTTTAATTTCCAAAAATCTAAAGCATAAAATACTTTATGAGACGAAATAATTTTATTAGGAAGTATTTCTCAATAGAACATAAAAAAGATTTAAAGAATATGAATCAAGTACTCCCTCCGGTCCATTTCTAACTTTAACCATAAACTATTAAAAAACTATATTTAAATACGAGTAGGATCTTTTGATCTTGGCATTTTATGACACAGTGGGACACCTACGGTACTTCGTTGGTAAGATTGATGTTTTCTTTCCCTTAACTTCCCTACACCTCATGCTCTCCCTCCCCTCCCTCCTTCTCCCCTAAAATGCTGAGGGAATGGGGATGAAGGGGTGCAAGAGGCAGTGTGGTTAGAAGGTGTAAGAACAATCAATTTTGTCAATAGATCACCGTAAGTGCATGGGGTTACAAAATGATTTGAGGTTTCAAGGTCAAAACCTAGGGGTGGAAGTAGAAGGTTCATAAGTCGAAGAGATCGTTCCAAATCCTTATTGATGTCTTTCCTAACCACCGGGAGATATTGTGATATACTCCGGAGTAGTTTGCACGGCAACATTGAAGTAATGTATAATTGACATCTTACTATATTTTTACGTATAAATATTCATATTAATGTCATTGTACTCTTGATAATAAAAAATATGAAGTTCTTATTTAGGTATTCTTTTTCCTGTTTTAATTTTAGTTTAATTTTATAAAAAAAATTTCAATCAAATTTTTATGAATTCTAAAAAAGTGTTAAAAAGTAAAATATCAGTGATTAGAATTGTATAAGAGGATAGAGAATATTCTTAACCACAAATTTGGTTTTCTTTAAAAGGAAAGTGATATTTTTTAGACGGACAGAATAATGAAAAAAATTTATGAGATGAAGGGAGTATAAAACAATACCTCTTTGTCCTAGAATAATTGGTCTCTTAACTATTTCTGATTATCGATAACTTTTGTTTGCATATATGATTTCATTGATCATTTGATAAAAATAAAATAATCATGTCATCACTTGTTTTGTAGAATAGATGCAGTTTTTAATAATGTAAGTAATATTTTTTATTTCTACACTAATTTGTTAATAAAATCATTTAAAAATGGATGAAATTTTACATGTTGTTTGAAAGAGAATAACTTTTTTGAAGAAGCAGGGAGTAGATAATTTGATTCGTAGGCGATAAGGATAGTAGATGAGGCGGTCGCCTACCCCAAACATCTCCTAAATATCTTTATGGTATGTTCGCCTACCCCAAACATCTACTTGAGTCAAATTTTTTTCATTCATAACAAAACTAAATTTGAAATCCACGCATCTCCCTTTGCCATTTGAAATTAAAGATTTCAAATTTTAGAATTGAAATGCATGAATTCAAATGAAATGCCAGTTGCCAAACATTACTTTATATCATTTTTATTTCGCGTTGACCTCTTGGATATTTGAACTGATCATCCACTGATCTCTTTATCCACCATTGATGTCAGTCTGCTATTCGTCAGCACAAGGTGCAAGAGTCTTGACTGCCATATAAGTCAGAGTAGTGATTTTTACTTCTGACTAGAACTATAGGAATCTTTTGCTACCGCTCCCCACCATGCCTTTTTATTCCCCGTTATAGTATAAAACCTTTACACGGTTTACAACTACTCCATCCGTTCCACAAAACTCTTCCTCTTTTGTTTTTTTTGCTTTCCATAAAACACTTCCTTTTTCTATTAAAAAACCACTTTTACCACTATTTTTTCATACCCTACCTATCACATTATACTTTTTCACTAATAACCAAACTATCACATCTTACTTTTTCCTATCATATCAGGGACAAAATTGGAAAGTCAACCAAAATTACACTTTCCTTATTTTTCTCCAAAGTCAAAACCGGAAGGGTTTTGTGGAACGGAGGGAGTATAAGTTTAAGTTTTTGGTTGAATCAGTTTCGTAATATGATATTAAAACGTTGCTGATTAGGAGGTCATGAGTACGATTTTTGCCGCTATCGAGTTTCAAAAATATTAGTTTTCAAGTGCATCGCTCGAGCAGAAATAATCTCGTTTGCACGTGAGCTGTGTGTTAGAGTATAAAACCTCTTTAGGGACCACAATCATAAGATTGAGTTTTTTGTTGAAGCTAGCTAGTTGAGCTGCCCACCACTAGTGATTTGTGCCTCTTTATGATCTATAACCATATGTTTGAGTTTTTGGCTGAGTTAAGCTGCCTACCACTACTGATTAAGGTTTATCCAAATGAAAGCTCTCATTTTATTCTATTTCTTCAATTTTAATTAGCTAGCTTATTTGAAATTGTCAGTATTATTTGATGAAGTTAAGGTGAAACTCACGATTCCTATTCAAATTCAAGGTAAACTTATCTAAGGTCACGTTAAAAGTGTAATTTCACATCGAATCTACATCATTCTTGTCATTGTCAATACTAGAGGCCGCTATTGATTTGTCATTTGTTCGTTGGAGTCACTACCCATCGCAACCATATAGGTCACAGTTGTCGTCATTGGTCGAAATCCAACTCCACAGTCATAGTTATTATTTTTTTGTCTTTCAAGCTAACATAGAATACATTTTCGAGCTTAGAGTCGATGTGAGATAAAACTTTTAGTCCTCAATTTAACACAAATATGAGAGAAGACCAAATAAAAAATTATTCGTGGAAAGGTATACATAAATGAAGAACTACAAATGTAATATTTGATAATAGAGAATAGATATTAAAAAACTTTTAGTTTTAAAAGTTCGTTATAGAATTTACTCTATCTTAAATGAGTCGGTGTTGTGAGATGACACCAGGGTTCTGTGTCGATGGATCCTTTCCTTTATGACAAGAATAAAGCTAAGTTATCACCAGTATTTTGAGGTTATCATGACCCCAAAATTTGCATGTACACATACACACAATTATAATATGTGTCGCAGAGAAAATATTTATTTGTACGTATCTGTACAAAACTTGATGTCATTCTAATCCTAAAAATTGGAGTTGGGCTAATGCGACTCTTATCCCAATTCCGAGTAAAACTTGTGCTTTATTATTCCTCTAAATTATCCGGTTAGTTCTATTGCTCTAATTGAACCCCAAAGAATGGAATGCAATTTCTTTTTTCGAGGCAAATCTCTACATAGGGATTAAATGAGGTCGAGTTAAGGCTCTGTTCCATACATCTGATCAGATTAGGTCTGATCTGATCTGAATGGATCTGATCTGATCTGATTGGATCTGATCTGATCTGATTGGGCCTGATCTGATCTGATTGGATCTGATCTGATCTGATTGGACCTGATCTGATTGGATCTGATCTGATCTGATTGGATATGATTTTTCTAATTCGATTTGGTGCAAATGAATTTAAATTTGATTTAAATTAAACTTAAAATTATTACAAAATTTAATAGTTTTAAAGTATTACAATTCATATATACATAAAAAAGTAAAATAAGAAAATCAGCTAATCATTGATATATTTAATTTTTTTTTAAATATTAAACATCATTTCGAATAACTAAATAATCTGTATTAAAATAACGAAATATTAGAAAATATTGATGCTATTCTACAAAAATATCACATTCTATATGCATATTACATAAAAATATATTTCATGCTACAAATTAAAGATCATATAAAATTCTAAACACTAATATCTCTTTCACCTCTATCAATTTTGTCATAAACTCACTCTTGTGTATATTATATCATCTTATAGTTTAAAAGTAAGTCTTTTTAAGTATAAAATATTTATTTATAATTATTTTATAAACAAGTATTTTAAAATAACTCTTTTTAAAGTATGAAAAATACAACTTTTTAAGCTTTAACATTGCTTCCATGCATCATTCCTATCCTACAAGCTAAGAAATTGTTAAGAATGATAGTTTGTAGTTGAAATATAATAATAATAATAATAATAATAATAATATAACAACAACAACAACAACAATAATAATATAACAACAAGAATAACAATTAAAATTATAACATTAATTAAGATTTAAATGTGTGTAGTTTTAAATAAAGTAATTTGATTTAATCAAATACTAGTAATTATTATTTAATCCTTGAAAAATATAAATATTATTTTTTATATTTTTCTTGATTTGATATTACTGGCTTTGATCTGGTTAGATCTCATCTGATTGGATCTGGTCTGATCTGATTAGATCTGATCTGATCTGATTTGATCTGGTCTGATCTGATTGGATCTGATCTGATCTGATTGAATCTGATCTGATCGAATTGAATCTGATCTGATCTGATTGGATCTGATGTGATCTGATTAGGTCTGATCTGTTCTAATCAGATCTGATTTTAATAAGAATAAGTAATAAGTAGAAAAAATAAGTCCTACGGAACGGACCCTAAATTCCTTTGTAAAACCTCAAAGAGTTTTAGTGGTAGTAAATTTCTCTCCATAAGAGCTCCATTTATTCGCGTGTCGTATTCACGTAGATTGGTGTTAAAATAAATTTTCTATTAAAATCTAGTTAGGCAAAGTATACTCACTGGCATTGGAAGCCTTCTAAATTCGAAAAGTTCAAATTGATTTCAGTTGTTTTGGACAAAGTAACAATTTGTTTGAGAAAAGAGAATATGAATTGATTTCAGGTTGTAGACTTTTATGAGATAAATTAATTAGTTAGATAATTAAATTAATTAATTAATTGGGCTGGTGATTAGTCCTGTCACAAATATTCCATTAATTTCTCCTATCTCTAGGTATAATTAATGTGCTAGAATAGATTGACTAAATTATTTTTCTCATTCATAGATAAATGGACACAATAATTTTTCAAGGATTAATTAATAGATTGTCCAGATTAATTAATTAGAATATTAAAACAATTTCTAACAACCTAGCATTTTAATTAATTATATTTAATATTCCTACTTAATTATTTTTTCTACATGTCTACAACCCCAATTTAATTCACATCCCAAATATATTTAAAAGGACGTAATAACAATTAAAAGAATGCAATTTAAATAACAGAACATTTTATTAAAATATTACAAAAAAGAACTTACATCTTCGAGAGAAGTGGAATATGAACATAACTAGAACTGAAACTCCAAAAATTAACTAGAAAGTATTTTTTAGTGTGGTTTTCGCCACTTAGAGAGAAGAGAGAAGGAGAGAGAGAGTTGATGGTGGTGGGGATCGGTCAACAGGCCTTATATAGGCCCAAGAAGTTCCGGGGCGGCGTCCAGGGTGGCCGCCCAGTAAGTTGCCCGAGCGCGACCCCTGGTTTGGCGCACACGGTTTCTCAAAAAACCGCCAATGTTACGCGTATGCTGACGTGGTTTTCTTGGGCGGGCAGTGGGGCAGTCTCCCGGGAGGTCACCCAAGGAAATATGCGAATATTCCCTGGGAATATGCCCCGCCAACCGTCTATCTTTACAATTGAAATCCGGGGCTGGATCCGGAGCTGGCGCCGGACAAGTAGCCCTAGCACATCTTTGACTTTTGACTTCAAATTTTTGTGACAAGTTCCTCATTTTGTGCTGAACATTTTTTCCTTTTGAAGCTTCGGACGAATTTGAAAACAAGTATTCTGAAAAATTTATTTCCTTTAAAGTTTTACTCTTTTTGAACCAATTTTTGGTTGAAAATTTCAAAATTGGTTTTGAACACACTTTTTATAAACAAAATGACAACTTTGAGATATCTATAAAAGAAAATTATTATTTTTATTTTAAATTAAATTTATTTACACACAAAAATATTTAAATATGAATAAAATAATAAGTACAAAATGTATTTATCAAATTCTCCATACTCCTACGGAGTATTCAATAAAAATTAGAATGTATCTAAAAGTAAAACTGTATTCCAAAAGTATGCACCTGTATTTTGGTGGTTCAGAGTAAGAATATAAAAATAATTTTCCTGGCTTACAATTACAAGCTTGAACTTTTGATTGAATCGGTTTTTTGATGTTGTATCAGAGCCTTCTTGATTAATAGATTACATGTTCAAAACTCATTGCTACATAATTTTTTAAAAAAATTAAATTTAAATTTTACGTGCAAGGCTAAAAAAGATTATATTTACACCTGAGAGAGCGTGTTAGAATATTAAAAAAATGAGGAATTTAATTAAATAGCATTAAAACACAATGACTTTCTCTAAATAGTACCACATGTGTTTTTCTTCTCAATGTAGCACTTTTAGTCATTATGCATTAGTCATTATTCAAGTAAATATTTGCCATCAATGGACATTATTAATTGCTATTTAGAGAATAAAACAATTTAAGTACTATTTACGGAAATGACTTAAGTTTTAGTGCTATTTAGTGCAAATATTTCTAACAAAATTCTGACCACAACCACAAATTTGTGATTTTGGTTGAATCAGGTCCTTGACACGCATGCTAGCACAAAATATTAGTGGGATAAAAATATTTGCACTAGAATTTATACATATGTGAACCATCAGAGTGACAAAATGAAGGTAAACACATGTGTTGTATAAATTTGGGTACAACTTTTGGCGTAGAAATAACTTAATTCATAAAAATTAAGAAAATAATTGGGGAACCCTTCTTGGTGTACACCAAAATAGGCACTCACGGATTCTAATGAACGCCTGTGTATGCACTGACATTGAGTGTCTAATGTATTTATTTTTGCTTTAGTGTACACCAAGTGAGATTCTTCTAGCAATCATCCAAAATCACATTGAGTAAAACTTTTTTTTAAAAAAAAAAACATTTCAAATTCAAACAATATAGTGTACTTTGGGGTACTTTTTATTTGATAAAAAAACTCGAACAACCATGTTAGGGGTACACCAAAATGTGTATCCCAAATTGTACCTCAAATGAGTATATCAATATTTAAACCGTTCACATTAGCACAAAACGTAAGTTCAATAAAAAAAATTTAAACTTGTAGTTTAATTCAAATTCAAAATATGAATTTAACAGTTTTATACTCGTAGGAGATATACGGAGCAGTATGCAATGGAAAAGGGGCAAAAAAGGTGTTTGACTATTTTTTTCAGCTATAAATAGACAGTCCCATTGTCACACCATTGTAGCCCATTCCTTTGTTCAGTTCTCTAAGTTCAGGTATGGTGAAAATGGCTATTTCCCAATCTACCCTTCCCTTCTTCTTCCAGATCTCACTTCTACTCCTCTGCTCTGTCTCAGTCCTTGCCCACCAAACTCTCCCTTTGACCCCTGCACCAGCACCTGCCTCCATCAAAGGCCACCACCACAGCCGTTCTCCGGCCGCCGCAACGCCGCCGGCAGCCGCCCCTGCAAACCCATCACCACACATAGCAAACCCTCCCATTCGCTCCCATTCCCCTGCTCTCGCCCCTACCACCCATCACCACCATTCTCCGTCCGCCCCAAAGCCGCCGGCAGCCGCCCCTCCTAAACCACTACCACACCTAGCAAAACCTCCCACTCACTCACACTCCCCCGCTCTCGCCCCTGCCATCTTGCCACCGCGGCACCCCCACCACCATGCCACCGCCGCCCCATCACCGGCACCCACCACTCCCCACCACCACTCCGCACCACCGCATGCTCTCATCCATCCACCATCCCAAAGAAAACAACCCATCGCTGTCTGCGGCAGCGTTTTCTGCAAATCTTGCAAGAACTCCACCATTCCCATCAAAGGTTAGTTCTTTACTCATTCTTTCATAATTTCTGACCCCAAGATTCAAACTTTACTGAAATTAACACAGTAAGATCCCCCAAAGAGGGAAAATAACCGATTTTGTGGGTTTTTTTTAAAATTTGCAGGGGCTGTGGTTAAATTAGAGTGCAAGAACACGAAGAAGGAGATGGAGGAGAGGACAGAGACGGACGAGAAGGGGTATTTCTTGTTGAAGCCGAGGATAGTGACGTCAGCAGGGTGGCACAAGTGCAGGGTGTTTCTGGTCTCTTCGCCGCACCGCAAGTGCAACGTGCCCACGAATCACAATCTGGGCCGGGTCGGGGCGCCGCTGAACTTCCACCGGCCCGAGAACAAAACGCTGTCGTATCCCCGCTTCACCGTCGGCCCCTTCTTCTTTAAGCACTATAACCAGACTCACTGCAAAAAGCATCTGATTGGTTGAAAAGCTAAGCTCTGTTTGAAGAAGCTAAGGAAGAGGAGATTAATTTACTTAGAGCAATTAAGTTGTAATGTTTGCATTATTAATTACTTTGTTGGATGCTATTAGCCTTATATTAGAGTACTATTGGCCTTAGTTGGTTATTGTCACTCGAATGAAATCTTTATTAAGGTTTAATTTAATCCACTTTTGCTCATTTGCTCATTTGGAGATTAAAAAAATCATACGAGTACTTTATTTATTTCCTGTTTTAGTCTTACTGACTTAAACAATTATGACTCCAAAGTAAAAAAAAAATTGACTTCAAAATCCACCAAACTTGCATCTTGTAATTGATGTGGTTGGAAGAGTTGGAAACGGACTCGGGTGACGGATAAAACGAGCGGAGCCCGTAGGTGTCTCAATTGAGCAAGTGGCTTCCGTAGCCACTCTTTTTGAGTTGCGATAAAACGAGCGGTTAAAAGAATCCTAATGCGCAACTCTAAACTTATGTCTATCTATAACATTCCACCTCCTTCTGAAAAAGAGGGTAAACTTCATTGATGCTACCAAAATTTTATGCAATATATTCTTTTCGTCTGATCTGATTTTTTGAAAATTTGATTTGATTGCAGTTATAACATAACTTTTTTCTGATCTAGCCCGATCTAGTCTGATCTGATTATAATTAGAATAAGTAATAAGCAACAAAATAAGTTGAATGAAACGCTGTCATAGAAATATACTCCCTCCGTCCCATAAAACCTTTCTCCTTTCTTTTTTCATCCGTCCCATAAAACACTTCTCATTTCTATTAAAAAAATCAATTTTACTCCTTACTTTTTCATACCCTACCTATCACATCATACCTTTTTACTAATAGTCTACCCATCAAATCCTACTTTTACCCATCACATCAAAGGACATTTTTGGAAATTCAATACCAAAATACACTCCCTTAAATCTCTTCAAAAAGCAAAACATCCCATGTTTCATGGGACGGAGGGAGTATATAATTGTAATTACATCCAAAGTAACGTAATAGTAATAAATTGAAAATTTGCTCCATGTCATTTTGTAATTTTTTAAAAAAAATTATGTTGCTCAAAATTCAAGTACCGTAAATGAACTTTACTTTTTGAAAAGGCTAGTACAAATATTCTTCTAATTCTACCATAATCTTTATTATTCTCTTTTAGACGTTCACTAAAATATTACTCCCTCCGTCCCGCTTTGTTTGTCTACTTTCATTTTTGCCCAAATACCAAAATGTGGTGGGTAATGTCCAAAATGCCTCTTATTATTTTGAGTGTTGGACGGAAGAGTAGTTGTTGATGACTTATCCTTCATTGCAAAGTGTCCGCTAAATCTGTAAATATTCACCCTTCAACTCATTGGACGATGTTAGCACCATCCACAATGTTCGTCGGAACCCTTTGCAATTATTTACATATTTCAAACTAGCTATTGAGTGTATCAGCGTCAGATCTATAGCTTGCACCACTTGATTTGCGACGCCAGATGCAGGAGCTGTTGCGATCATAGATGAATCCTTGTAGGGGCAGCGACGACCTGGAGGTATTAGTAATGGCCGCGACGAGCCAGAGCAGTGGCGACAAGCTACATAACTGGTGTCGACGGTAGGCTACAAAACAGGCAGCGATGGCCGTGGGTATGATGGAGGCTTTAGCGAGGATAGATGTTTATGTCTCCCCTGCTTTTTTCCGCATTAGTTAGAGCAGAGGGTATAATAGACTTTTCATTTCATTTTGTTTACCTTAAATGAAAAGTGAACAAATAGAGTGGGACGTTCCAAAAAGAAATATTGGACGAATATAGTGGGACGAGGGAGTACACTCTATCTTTTGCAATATTATAAACATCACAAAAGTCAAATCAAGAAATTTTATGAAAATAAACTGTTTCAAAAATGTTAGAAATGAATTGATGGAAAAAAAGAAACCAAACTTTTACTTAACTACCGCAAAAGCATACTCGTATTAATTAGATTCTTTTAAACTACATGTACGAAAAAAAAGTGCACATACATATACATGTGTGAAGAAAGACTTGTTAATTATGAACTTTTGTTAAGATATTTATCTGTACCTAAACATTTTTTTAAAAAAAAAAAATCTAAAGAAATTTAATTATGCATTTTTTTTAACTTTGTAACATGAGGCCAAATTGGGAGTAGCCGTTACAGTAAATTTGAATAAGATTCAATTTTATTTATACAACGGTCAAAAGAAAGGACAGCTTTATTCGCGGCATACAAGACTGTACTGTACATGCCCGTAAATATGAAGCCATTTGTATTGACAGATTTTCCTTGGACCTCTCCCTCTCAAAAGACAATCAAACTATGTGGACCCTCTTAGAATAAAATAGTACACATTAACCATTAATTACACAATAATCAAAACAAATTCAAGACTTGTTAATAATAATTACTCCCTCCGTTTCGGAATATATGTCTATTTTTGACTTTTTTCGGTCAAAAACTGATAAATTTTGATCCTAAATTAAATAAAAATGATATTATATATTGATACAAAAATAGCTTCGTTAGATTAATTATACTCTCTCCGTTCCGGAGTATTCGTCCAGTTTTGACTTTTGGAACTGTTCATCTAAACAATTTGACTCATCAAATTCTCTCAATGTGTAAGCCTAAATATAGTCATGTGTGATCTTGTTTGATTTGTCTTAACATATAGATCATTAATATATAATTTCTATAATTTTTTAATATACAAATTACAAGATAAAATGGATTAAAGAAGTGTATTGGATGATGTGCAAACATGAAAGTGGACAAATACTCTGGGACGAAGGGAGTAGTACACATTAACCATTAATTACACAATAATCAAAAAAAATTAAAGACTTGTTAATAATAATTACTCCCTCCGTTTCGGAGTATCTGTCTATTTTTGACTTTTTTCGGTCAAAACTCGTAGACTTTGAGCCTAAATTAAATAAAAATGATATTATATATTGATACAAAAATAGCTTTGTTAGATTAATTATACTCCCTCCGTCCTGGAGTATTCGTCCAGTTTTGACTTTTGGAACTGTTCATCTAAACAATTTGACTCATCAAATTCTCTCAATGTGTAAACCTAAATATAGTCCTTTGTGATCTTGCTTGATTTGTCTTAACATATAGATTATTAATATATAATTTCTATAATTTTTTAATATACAAATTACAAGATAAAATGGATTTAAAAAGTGTATTGGATGGTGTGTAAAAATGAAAGTGGACAAATACTCTGGGACGGAGGTAGTATAAAATATTTTAAAATATTATTTTATCTAATTAAAATACAATATATATTTTGTTCAATTAAAAGTCAAAGATTGCAAACGAATGACTGAAAAAAGGTAAAAACTGGACAAATATTATAGTACTGAGGTAGTATATTGGAGCATGTTACATGTACCCTAAAATTTGCACCCCATTTGTACACCAAAGGTATGCACCGACATTTTGATGGTTCACACTGACACAAAGTGTTGGTACATTAACAAAAATTTACACTGACACAAAATGTTGGTGCGTTTACAAACATTAGCATTACACCAACACAAAATATTGGTACATTCTTGCGATGTACAAAATGGGTTACAAATTCTTGGGATACAAATAATTTTATCCTAGTGTATTTTTAGTACAAAAACAAAACTCTGAAAACTTAATTATTTGGAGAGTTAGAAGTAGGAAGTGTGGAGGGAGGGAGGTGTGGACTAGGAAAATGTTAGGGTGCCACCACATGGGTGCTACCATGGGTGCACCCATGCTTCGCACAGACAAACACAGACGATAATTGTCTGTGCGATACAGACAATTATCGTCTGTGTTTGTTTGTGAAAAAGCATAGGTACACCCAATGTAGCACCTATGTGGTGACACCCATGATTCGTGTGAACTATGGTTATGGAGGGGGTAATTGGGGTAAAAAGTTACGGGAGAAGAAACTAGAAAGTGACCAAAAGGTCAGTTTCCCCAGACCCAATGGGAATGGTCAGCAAGGGACCAAACATTACTCCCGTCCGATCTTTTGTTCTTTTTTTCTAAAAAGAGGGAGGATGATTGAAAAGATTGATATGGTTTTTTTTTCTGGTGAATTTTCAAAATAGTTTTTTAAATAAAGTATTTTTTCTAAATCAGTCTTAAATTAGTAAAAAGTTAACTTTATAATTAAGATTTATTCCTTCGATAGTCTATCGTAAAATTTTTTTTATTAATTATATAACTGTTAAATGAAAAGTATTTTGATATTACCAATCTTCTAAATTTAGAGTAATTTTTAAAAGTGGTACATATATTTTTGATCTCGGTAAGATAGATGAGTTTTGTTTTCTAGTCATTGTAAAATATTTTTTGTTAAAGTTATCCTTACAAAAAAATTTATTTTGAAAATAGTGCTTAGACTCAATGTTACTTCTAGTTGGATGAGATATCGCATTTATTCCATACTCAACATTTTAGTCTTGCATTTTTAACAGTGAAATTTATACTAAATAGTAGTAAAACACATATTTTTTCAACAACATCTAGTCGCAAAAACAATATCCATTGACAGAAGATATTTACTTGAACAATGTCAAATGAACATTGAATGGTGATACTACATTGAAAAAATAAAAGATATGGTACAATATTAAGAAACTCACTATTTTTAGTACTGTATGGGTAAATTCCCATTAAGAAAATAAGAATCGATACTCTATTTTGCAATTTTGCCCCGCACATAAACATGTGTCGATCCTTGGTTTTTTGGGATGTATCCCAACTTTGGGTCTTGTAACAAAAAAATGTCTCATCTTCACTTTGTAACGGAAATGTACTCCATGTTTGAAAAATGTAACAAAAGGATACCTCTTGCCGGAATTTTGAAAATGCGCCGGTGAGTACACATGCAGCCTTCCACTTGGCTTCGTAATATACATGTGACATTCTATATTAGTTTCAAATTAATTTATACCGTAGTAACTTTCTTTATACATTATTAACTTTATACTTGACACATATAAACTTAAGTTTTAAATTTTTTTAAAATTATATATTTATACAATATTGTTTTTTAAATATTTACAAAATATTTTAAACCAAACTAGCGATTACTTTTTAAATAATTGTCTATATTGTAATTTATAGGGCAAATTTTCTTATTCATTTAAATTTTAAAATCTTTACAATCTTTTGGAGTTAGAATTTAAGTAGATAAATTTTAAAACGAGTGTGGTTTTCTCACACTCAAAAAGTTACAAGTTTGAACTTTACTGTTGCCTAAATTTTAAAAAATTACCTCCTCCGTCCATTTTTTATGGATGAATAAGTGGGAGCAAGGCCACTGCCGCTAGGAAACCACCCTCAACAGTGGCGTGGCGGAAATGAAAAGTATTAGGTCACCAAAAGCAAAGACTCAGATACCATGTAAAATAACAAAATTATGATATATTATTGAATGAATAACAAAGAAATATATTTTAAAATCCTCCACATTAATGACTAATAACATAAGATAATATTTTATAATAATAATCTAACTATAATAGGTAACAACCACAAGTTTAATATATAATATTAAATATATTAAATATATTAAATATATTAAATATTTAGTATATTTAACATGTTCCCATGACTTGGATGGTGAAGATTGAACACCAACTTTAAATTAAATCATGACTAGAATTATTAGAACCTCGAGACATATTTCGATTAGAGTAATCTGAATGCATCCATGTAAAATAATAAAGAATAATTTGAAGGAATACAAAACAATGGATATATAGGTGGAGTTGGAATATTCTAGAATTCTTCATATTAATGGCTAGATAAATAAGGAAATATTGTGTAATAATAACTCTACATATAATAGTTAACAACCATAATTATAATATATAATACTAAATATATCAAAATAATTAATATATTTAACAATCCATACCAAAAAAGAAGAAAAAAGATTATCGGGGAAGAGATGTGTTGGCATTGAGGAGGATGGGAGAAGAGCCATTGCGGACAGTTTCGTGCTGCAAACGTCGAAGAAGGGAGAAAGTTGACGCGCACTAAAGTCGTGCGCAACTTGTTTAGAGATGAAGCAATATGAACGAGGTGCTGTCGAAGATACCTGTTGACCGAATCAAGAAGGAGCGGTGATGGATCCGGAGAAGGATGGAGCATGGCGGATGATTTTTAGAGGAGCAAGTGGGAGTGAGGTCACCGTGGCGTGATTAACCACCAGCGGGTGCGGCGGTAGAAGCAGAAACTATTAGGTCACCAAGAGTAAAATACTATAGTTATGATATATTGCTAAATGAATAAGAGATGAATATATTCTAAATTCTTCCACATTAATGGCTTATAATATAAATTAATACTCGTACTATATAATAAAAATAACTCTAACTATAATATGTAACAATCATAATTATTATATATAATATATATTTATTAATATATACTCCCACCTTCTGAAATGAATACCATTTTAACTATTACGGTCTTTTGATAATTTTTGTTTGTGTAATTTATTGATAACTTGATAAAATAAAATGTTCTTGTCACCTCTTGTTTTATAGTCTTTAATTTACTTTTAAACGGTGTAATTTATACTTTTTATTTCTATATTAATTTATAATTAAAATGATTTTAAAAATAATGAGATTTTTGCGTGTTGTTCAGAGTTTGGCATCCATTATGGGACGAAGGGAATATAAAAAGCTGAGAGTAAAGATGCACTTTATTAAAAAGGAAAAACTCACATCATTATTCCCAGAATTACACAATTTTATATAAATCTTACGAGATTTAATTAAAGACATCAATACTCCCAAAATTTTCATATGTTTACATAGGTGCTCTAAGAGTTCATTTACGTTTATATCTTTGCTCCAAATGTTGGGGCGCCGATGTAAATAAATTTCAATGTTGGAGTATTGATGCTAATGGTGTAAATTAATCATCGGGTAGACAGTACTAGACCGGGTCTAGAATTATTTACTGAATTCGAGAAAGTGAAAAATAGTAAACACAAAGGTTAACCGGGAGGACTGTATGTGGAAACATCTGTAGCCCAATTGTTATTTGAATATAGTAAAGTGCACGGGAGCTATTACACAAGGGTTTTAGAAAGAAGAATTACGCTCTCTTCCTTTGTGGGTTATACATGTATTTATAAGGAAAGAGAGGAGACAGAGTGTCGCGCGTCCACGTTGACCCATTTTCTCTGATGGTGCGAGGTGGCTTCCCCTTTTGTCTCGTAGCATTTTGTCTCATTCCTTTGTCGTTTTGTGCTAGTGATTCCTCTTTCGACGCGTAGTGTCCAGCAGGAGGAAAGTCCACCAGCTCAAAGTCATATACTCTGATCGGTGGGTTTATATATATGGCACCGGTCAACTTTTCCGTCTTCAACCGGTGGCCTATTTTTAATTCAAATCTTCCATGCTATCATGTCTGCAACTTGACCGGTTGCTTTATGCGGACCGATTTCAGACCGAGTTCTAGGTGGAATACACCCATCGGGAGTAATGAGCATCGGTGTCATTTATTAAATCTTAGAGTATTTATGTAAAATTATGCAATTTTGGGAGTAATGATGTGAATTTTTCTAAGTAAAAAATAAAGAAAGCACCCTAAATAGGACTAAAACATAAAAAAATACCAAAATAGGAGTTTCATGTTTTATTCTCGAAATAGGAGTTCGCACTATGTTAATATGGTGATAATGTGGCATTGTACATGTGCATATTACTATACTTTTTGGTAATATAAATGACCATGTTTGGTAATTTAATGCATTTTTAACTCCTATTTTGGGACTAAAAACATAGAAGTCCTATTTTGGAATATTTTTAATGTTTACTCCTAGTTTTATCTTTTTCTGTAAAAAATATAAAGACTAATGATGCATGTTATTAAAATTTTGGGAAGAACATGCAGGTGACAAATTGACAATGATATTGAGGCCCCATTTTGTATATGAAATTCAAATTATGGAATTGGAATTGAGGAGTTTAATTTCAGTTCTGGTGTTTGGTAGCACAAAAATTATGTAGATTCAGAATTGATAGTGCAAAAATAAATTAGACTTCGTGAATTCATTTTTATGGTATTGAATCATATAGAATTTTAATTTCAATTAAATCTATTCCGTAAACCAAACAGACACAGATTTTTTTTATGGGAAATATTGACTCTTTGTATATCATTAAAAAAAATAAGAATTGATATTCTATTTTGCAATTTTTGCCCCGCACATTGACATGTGTCCATCCTTGGAAGAGAACGTGGCAACCCCCAATTTCCACGCGTCCTATAGATCTGTACACCTCAAATTGTATATATACGGAGCATTTAATCGTGTCAATTTTCAAGTGAAAAAAAGAAGAAGAAAAATAGCGTAAATTTTATGGTAAAAAAAGAAAAAAGAAAGAGAGAGAGTGAAGATGCGAAAATTGAATTTGACCACAAAAAACTTCATCTTCGATCTCGCAAAACCCATACTACTACCACCGCCTCCATCTTCTTCATTCTACATCTGCCGCCATATATGGAAGGTTTGTTATCTCAACCATTTATTCATAGGGAGAAAGATCAAAGTAGGACTAAAACATTGAAAATATATCAAAATAGGACTTCCATGTTTTTATTCTCGAAATAGAATTTACATTACCAAACATGACCATATACATTACCAAGAAAGTATAGTAATTTGCACATGTACACTGCCACATTACCCCAATGCAAAGTCACATTACCACAGTGCAAAGTCCTATTTCGGGGAAAAAAACATGAAAGTCCTATTTTGATATTTTTCTCTATGTTTTAGTCCTATTTGAGATGATTTCTATATATACTCCCTTCCTTTCACTAGTTTCTTTACCGTACGATTTATAATGTTTGATTGATGTTATTTTTAAATTATTTTGCTAAATATTTATATAAAATTTAAAAATGAAATTTATATATTTATATATCAAGATATATGATCTACAAAAAAAAATAAGAGGTGATGTATTTATCTTATTTAGTCAAATGCTAAAAAGAATCATTGTATTGGGTCTGATCCAATAAGGAGGCCCATGAGACGAGCCCGCATATATATATATATATAAACCTAATCCAGCAGGGAATTATATTTGACTTAATAGGAAGGAGATGTTGTAACTGAAGAGAGGAAAGAAAAAGGGAGAAGTGAAATCAACAGTAACAATGGCCGCCGTGAAACGGAGTCGGCGGCGGTTTACGAGAAGGAAGCGAAGGACAGAGCGACGGAAACGGCGCAGGAGGCGTGGAAGGCCATAGAGGAGGCTGCGGCGGAGATGAATCATAGGGTGGTTCCTAATTTGGATGCCAACAAAGAGACTGATATTCGAGACGAAATGCTCATCCGGCAGCAGCAGCATGGACAATGATGTTATTTTGGGCCTTGTAATATTATGTTCTTTTATATTCTCTGTTCCTTAAAACATTTCCCATTTTGACTTTGGGCCAAAATAAGGAAAGTGTAATTTTGGTTGACTTTTCAATTTTGCCCTTGATGTGATGGGTAAAAGTAAGATGTGATAGTTTAGTTATTAGTGAAAAAGTACGATGTGATAGATAGAATAGAAGAAAAGTAGGGGTAGAAGTGATTTTTTAATAGAAAGTGAACGTGTTTTAGGGAATTAGAAAAAAACAAAAGAGGAAGGGTTTTATGGAATACTATTTTTTCTTTTATACTATCTTTGTCGTTGAATATTTGTTTAGTTGTAATTTTTTTAATCAATTATTTTTAATCTTTGACCTATAATTATATAAAATATATATTGCGTATAAATTATATTAAATAATATTTTGAAAATATTTGATATAAAAAATCTAATAAAATTATTTTTGTATCAATATTTAATATCATTTTTATTTAATTTGAAGTCAAAGTTTACAAATTTTGACCGAAAAATATCAAAAATAGACAAATACTCAGGGAAGGAGGGAGTAAATAAAAAAAGATTTAGTAAAAATTTCTATAAATTCTATTTAAAATTATCTTCTTGTTTACCATTCATATGATCAAATTTTATTTACTTTGTTGGCTAATTTTTATTTTTTAATTTTACACCATTTTTATATAAAATGATTTGAAAATAATTTCAGTAAATATACGGAAGAAGTAATTGCTACAAAAGTATTTTGTGGGTATGTTTAGTTTCAACACAAATATTCTAATTCCGGAGTAGATTTTTTTGTTGCATATTTAACTCAGTCCATTTTTACACTTTTTCATCTATCAAATAAGAAATCAAAATTCTTTTACTTTGCATTTCTAGCTTCTTTATTTATCAAATTGTTCTTTTGTGTTTAATAAAGCTAATATTTTTTCAATAAACATTGGCCCTTCTAAAATAGTACTGGGCCTTTGGGTTGTGCCCCATATTGCCTCTCTTGGGCCGTCCTACTAAAGACTTAAGTTTGCGGGAATCACAATAATTTAATTTTAATCTTTCAGTTTTTTTCAGTTTCTTCCAGTTTTTGGTAATTTCTTTCAGTTTCTTCCAACTATTCTTATTTGCTTCAAACTCTTTCTACTTTCCAACTAATTATTCTAAAAGAGAACATATTTTTAATGTTGTTATTATTATTATTATTATTATTATTATTATTATTATTATTATTATTATTATTATTATTATGACTTCTTACCCTGACCGAGGGTATGACTTTAGATAGGAAATTGGGGAACTAGGATTAGAGTAGCTGGATAGGGGCTCTGTGCTTCGGAGGTTTTTTGTAGTGTGTTTTGTTTGGTTGGAAATTTTTATTATTGCTTGCAGGACTTTCATTCCATTGTACTTGGTGCTTTATCTGTGTTATCCTGTGATTCTTATCATTTTTTTGTGCAGTTGGAGCCGGGGGTCTCTTGGAAACTCCCTCACTACTTCCGACTAGGAGCAAGGTCTACGCACACATCCCCCAAACCCTACTGTAGTGGGATTCAACTGGGTTGTTGTTGTTGTTGGTGTGTATAGAATGCTCTGTTAAAAAAATTATGCTATTTCTTTTGCCATTGCACTTCTTTACAATTAATTCTTATTGAGATAGTATTAATAATTTCTTATTTTTTTGGGGAGAAATATTTTTAGTGTGCCACGGTAAAAAAATCTAGTTTAGAAAAAATCACATGATTTTTTTTATTATATATGGAGATTATTATATATAAAATTTTTTATTATCATTTTACATTATTAATCACGGTCAATGCTTTAAAATCTTAATTTCAGTTCTTTTTGTGTGCTTTCTTCGTTGACGTGTGCTATCGTAATCATGTAATGATGTTAATCTCCATAAACGGTGTTAATCTCAATAAATATAATTTCTATATCTACATACGGAGTATATATTAAAAAGTCCATGAATAAATACATAAATAATATAAAAATTGATTATCATAATCAATTAACAAATGTTATATTTATAAATGGTGTTAATCTCTATAAATATAAGGAGATATAGAAATATGGAAAGATAATTATTGAACTCCTTTACTTGATTTATAAACTTTTTATTTTTTTGAAAACAACTTTTTATTATATATGGAGATATGAAGATTATTATAAATGGAGATCAGCACCGACTATGCTACTGCCTGAATGCGTTGTACTTTTCGTAACATTTTAAGTGCCCATTGGATGTATTCCTCTATTCTAATTTTTTTTATATTTGTACATAAATAAATAATATAAAATTTTGATATGTTAAAAAATGAACTCAATTATACTAAATTTTTATTATATCTAAATATAATTTTTTTTATTAATCACAGTTAAAGTTTTATAAGTTTAATTTAGAATCAAATGTAAATAAAATTCTAGGAGGGAAAAGAATTATACTTCATCCGTTCCACAAAACCCTCTCTCTTTCGTTTTTTTGCTTTCCACAAAACACTTCCACTTTCTATTAAAAAACCACTTTTACCCCTACTTTTTCATACTCTACCTATCACATCATACTTTTTCACTAATAACCAAACTATCTCGTCTTACTTTTTCTCATCACATCAGGGGCAAAATTGGAAAGTTAACTAAAATTACACTTTTCTTATTTTTCCCCAAAATCAAAACCGAGAGGGTTTTGTGGAACGGAGGGAGTATTCATCAAAATTTTCTTTTTCGTTATGAATGGGCAATGCAAGAAGGACAAAACATGGTTTATGGTAAGATAATTAGAGTATGTTTTGGAGTTTGGTAGATTATTCGAAAAGTAGAAGTTTTAAGTAGAAGTAGAAAACACATATTTTTAACTTTGCTTAAAAGCACTTTTGATTTGTAACTTATTTTAGACTAGAAAAGTCATAATCTATAAGCAGAAGCAAATTGGAAAACACTAATCTATATTTTAATAAAGCAAAATCTTATAAGTAGTTTTTAAATGCAACCTCAAACACCCTCTTAGTAAACTACCTAATTTGTACTAAATAGGACTGAAACATAAGTTATTTTCCAATGTAAGACTTAAACTTTTTTATTTCATAAGTAGGACTTAATAATGTCTAGCGGGAGAAATAATGCCCAGTAATGATGGACATTTACTTGAATAATAACTAATTGATAATGACCAAAGATCCTACATTGAAAAATAAAAACATATGGTCCTATATTGGAAAAGTCATTATATTTTAGTCTTATTTAGGTGAAGTTCTCAAATTGTTTTTGGTTTATGAACTTTTTTGTTATATTGGGTTTGATGGCTTGAAGATTCTGATATAAAATGCAGATGATGTTTTCATAAATTATAACAGTAATATTGTTTATAAAAAAAGTTTTTTCAAGATTTATTATTCAGTTGATATTCATTCTTTAAAATATTGAAAAAAATGATTTATCTATTATATAGCCTATTTCTATTTTTTAATAATGACACCAATATAATTTCATAACGTAAATATGAGATGTGCAATGCACGGGTGTGATATTAGTGGTTTCTATTTTCTGGTCACATGCATGCCCTCGAACATAATTTCAGAGTAAAAATGATATTTATGCTCTTTCTTTCCCTATGTAATGAAGTTTCACTATTTTTTTTTCATTTTTTGTTTATACAAATAAATAAAATAACATATATGATCTCAATCTCAAATTAAATTTTTTTCATTTATTTAATTTTCAAAACAATTTTTTTTTCTAGAAATGTTACAAAAGAAAATAAAAATAGAAAAATGAAATGAAATACTCACTACAAAATAAAAGAAAAAAGAATAGAAAATGGTAATGAAAAGAAAGGGAAAAAAAATAAAAACTAGCTTTTTCTTTTACTCCGTATTTTTCATGTTTATATTCTTCATTTTTTAAGTCCCGAAAAATTATTTTAATTGTGAAGGATAAATAAGTAATTTTTTTAATTTGAGACGGAGTAACTATATGTCGATTTTTTTTGTTTTATTTATTTCACTTTTACTTGAAATAAAAAAGGTACTTTTTTTCTTTTTCATTTTTTGTTAACTTTTTCTTTACTTTTCATTTTCTTTTGTAATATTCTCCAAAAGAATTCTTTTGTCTTGAAAAATAAAAAAAATTAAAATTTTCAATTTGAGTTGTATAGCGTACATATTATTTTATTTATTTGTATAAACAAAGAAAAATAAAAAATAAAAGAGTGAAACTTTATGATTGAAGTAAGAAAGGACATAGATTCATTTTACTTTGAAAATAGGTTAGAGGCTTGTGTGCATTATTTAAAAATCATAGAGATTTTATAAATAATTTTAAAAAATAGAGAGGGCTTTGGTGTCGAATCCATTTTCTAAATCACAGAGGCATATGCTATTACCCCTTTCGTTTTTCTATCCAAGCATCGTTGTTGTTAGAATTGAATAATAACTTCAATTTTTTTTAATTTCTATCATTTCAAATTGATTCTGGTATTAAAAAAATATTTTTTTTTTTTTTCGGATATACAAATTTTGGGTTTTTACAAATAAACTACAATCATACACTTTTAATATTTATCAATTTCTATATCGAAAGTTGTTTGAAGTACATTCTTTACGGACTACTTTATAACTGTGAGTTTTTGAGTTTTTCATATTTAGTCTACATTTATCAAATACTACCTCCGTCATAAAATGATCTTCCCAGTTACTATTCACATGGTCAAACTTTAATTATTTTCTTTACTTATTTTCATTATTAGTTATTCGATAAAATAATATAATAATGTCACCTCTTATTTTGTAGAACTTTTAGTGTAGTTTTAAAATATATAATTTTTATTTTTTAATTTTATACCTATAATCAAATAAATTAGATTGAAGATAATTTCAGTCAAACCTCGAAAACCGAGAAAGATCATTATAGGACGGAAGAATATTATGTTTGTATAGTATGGAGTAGTTATTATTGATTGGATATCATTTCAAGTTTAGTTTTTGTCTAGGAACATTGAAATAGAAAAATAGCTGAGAACTAAACATGAAATGTTACACAATCAATAAAAATTATAGATACTCCCTCCTTTCTTGAAAATTTTTCTATCCTAATATTTTGTGCACCCCATAAAATACATATACTCTACTTAGAATATGTAAAAGAAATATTTGCTCTAAATAGCACTAAAAATAAAGTCATTTCCCTAAATAGCACTTAAATTATTCTATTCCCTAAATAACACTTAATAATGTCCATAATGTCTAGTGATGACGAATATTTACTTGAATAATGACTAATACATAATGACTAAAAGTGCTATATTGGAAAGAAAAATACATGTACTGCTATTTAGGAAAAATCATTATGTTTTAGTGCTATTTAAGTAAATTCTTCTATGTAAAATATATCTCCAAAACAACTTCTACCACAAATATAGTGAAATGTATTTTAGATATTTTAAGTAAAAGTAAAAGTATTTTATTGGGTACGCAAAAAATTAAAGCAGAAGTGTGTTCAAGAACAAAAAAAAGTAAATAATATTTGATAAATATGAATTAAATATAAATAACTTCAATTAAAAAGATTTATTTATAAAATTATTCTTTAAACAATACCTTCAATTCCATTCACCTATGGAGGAGTACGTATATTTGGACATGGGAGTGTAGCGGACATGCGGTGGTGGGAAAGGATTATATTCTCTGAAATGATATGATATGATCTGGAGAGAGAGAGAGAGGACCAGCTTTATTCAATTTCCAGGCTTTGGTCGGTCGGTTTGGGGGACCATATATATCACCGTACCCTACAGACCTAGCCTAGAATGATGACGACCAACTTACTATTCTCTTCGTCCTTAAATATTTGTCACACTTGTATTTCCGAGATAAAATATCAATTTTTTTAAATTTAATTTGTTTACATATTGGTTTAAAAATAAAGAATAAAATTTACATATTAAAAAGCAAATGTGCCAAATATTTTGGGAGAGAGGGAGTATTAGCTTGGCTTAGCCTCATTTGGCATGATCTCAATTCACATCCACGCTTGAATTTGTTTTTCTTATTCTGAAGGCAAAATAATTTTCTAATAAGAATAATTATAAAGAAATATAAATATATATATATATATATATATATATATATATATATATATATATATATATATATAGACACACACACTCTCTCTCTCTTCGTCCAAAATGAATTTAGCAAGCTTGCCAAAAAATTAACTTTGACTTGTTAAATATAACAAGGTCATCAAATTATAATAAGTCTGTTAGCGGGTTGTTAGAATATAAATAACCTTTTCTGGGCCGCAACCACAAGCTTGAGCTTTTGGTTGAATTGGTTCCATGACATGGTATCGGAGCCTTAGCTTGTTGAAGTCACAGGTTCGAAACTCGGCGCCACCCGGTTTATAAAAATTAAAGTTTCACGCATGCACGTGAGGGGGGCGTGTTAGAATATAAATAATCTTTCCTGAGCCACAACCACAAGTTTGAACTTTTGGTTGAATCGGTTCAATTCCTTGACACAGATATTTGTAAATAGACTTTAGATTAGCATTTTAGCCCGTGTTGTTTAGCTCATTATGTACTTGTATATATATTATATTGGCTTGTGATTAATGAAAATGAAGATCAATTTCCGCTAAAATTCTACATGGTATCGGAGCTTGTCTGGGAACTTTCAAACCCTAGCAGCGATCACGGCCGCTGTTATATTAAAAAAATAAAGCATCAAGTTATAGTTTGATAATGGAACAAAAAAATGTTTGCTATATTACAATTCTAGCAAACCCATATATCAAGTGGGGATGGTTTATAGACATTGGAACTCCATATCAAGGGATGACCCAGGACTACTAGTGTGCCTTGTTGGTAAAATTGACGGTTCTTACCCCCTAAACCTTTAAACCGCCCTGACCTGAACACACACTCAAGTTAATTTTGACTTTGGAGGGGTGGGGGTGAGTTTGGATCGAGACGGAATGGGGGGTTTATCGGGTGGTGGGGATAAAAAATCTCAATTTTGCAAACGGAGCAGCGTAGCAGCTTAGGTCATCCCATGACATGGAATTTTAATTTCATAGAAACCCCTCCAAGAGGGGGTAAAATTGAAGATGTTATACCAACACTACTCAATCGAATTATCGACTAACGAAGCTGAAAATAACCCTATTCCGGACGATCATTGAATTTGGGTTGTTCATCTAATTTCATTGATTTTTTAAAGATTTTGTCTGATTATATTTAAAGCTGTTTCTGATCCGGTTTGATTTTAATAAAAATAATACTCCGTACTCCGTATATAAGTTGTTCGGAACCAAGCCTAAAGTTCCATGCCCAACATAATTATATCTCATTCCATAATTGTTGAGAATTGAACACCAGTCTCATTGTTTTTTCACTTTTTGTACTTTAGAATATTTGTCGGACCAATTTTTATTTACTTTCTAGTTCGCGTGGCATAAATGACTTGAAATGACAAAAAAGTGGCTAGAAATTTGTTTTCAAGTATCAAATTAAATTTAGTAATTCAGGCAATATCACCAAACGCTCCTAAATTTAATGAAAACCCAATGAAAATTTCTTCTCTCTTGACTTGACTAGTAAAAGGGCTACCTCCACAGGTTGTAGACTAGAAATTCACCCAAATTAAACATAGGTTAGTTCTTTTTTTTGTGTGGAAATAGTTAGTTCTTTGTGTTCTAGTAAATTGAAAAAATGTTTATAAACAAATATGTAGTACTACATTATAATAAAGTCAAAAGAGTAATTTACATAAATAAGACTTAAATATACTCGGAGTATCATTTTTTCTCTAAATAGGACAAGTCTTATTTACTCTAACGTTTAACAATAGAAAATTCTAAAATACCTTGACAGTGAGAAAAATGACATATTACATAATTCATGTAGACCAATACATTATCAAAAACAATTTGAATAGTCATTAAAATGAATGAAATTTGCACTGAATAGGACTAAAACATAAGCCATTTTCCAATGTAGGACTTAAATTTTTTTATTCTCTAAATAAGACTTATAATGACTTATGAAAAGAATAATGTCCTAGTGATGCTAGACATTTAGTTGAATAATGACTAATACGGAGTAGATAATGACCAATGGTCCTAACATATGGTCATATATTGAGAAAGTTATTATGTTTTAGTCCTATTTAGGTAAATTACTCTATCCAACATTTGTTGCTAATGAGAACATATATGACAGATCATACGAAAATATGTGTCATCTTATTCAGGAAAATGTAGAGCAAATTTTTCTAGTCAAAATAGTTCTAAAAAAACGTATCCAAAAGTAACAAGAATGGCAACACATATAAAACCATTTCAAATCATTCTTAATCAACAATAATATTAATCCCTTCTCTGCTATACCATATACCAAACCCCTTCTCCCTAAACTAAAACAAAAACCGTGAATGAAAATGGGAACCAAAGTTAATGCAGATATATAAAGAACCTAGAGTAGATGGAAATAATGTTATACTTATATACATATAACAAGAGAAATCAATGATGAACATACATATATTTGAACATGCCTGCACACATTGTTGATGCTCCGGCGATGTTTCCGGGTATGTAGATGAGCAAAAGGATCTGAGGTTCCTCTCGGCGCAACACGACTCGTGAACGTAACGTCGTTACGATTAATTATTCAATCTCTCTCTGTTAGCAAAAAATAACAGTCTCGTGAATTGAATAAATATCCGATCTCCCTCGTCAATCGATCGAGTCTTGCTTGCAGCCGACATGATCGCTCAGATCCAATCTCCTCCCTTCATCTACTCCACTTGTGTTTGTGTGTGTATGAAAAACTACCTTATAAGCTTGTTGGAAGTTTTGTATTACTCCCAAAACGTCCCTGTTCGGGTACTTGGGAACATCCAAATTCTCCGTTCCTAGCGTGTCCCTGTCTCGGTGCAACTTAGATATCAGCTTCCGTCAACGAACACACGGAGTGCTGATGAGATCTGAAAACGCGCCAAAAGGGAAAAGAAAAGAGAAAGAAAGACGGGAAATAATTAAACGAAAGGCGGAGATGAGTTCATATCCAATCCTCAAAGAATGGAAGGGACAGAAGAACCCATGTTTGAAGGATCAAACCAAGTCCAAGAAAGTGAAGAAGGATTATTGTTGTTGCCATTGTTGTTGTTGTCGTTGTCGTCGTTGTTTTTATCAGAAGTGTTAAAGTTTCCCATTTGAAAATGGGTATTGTTGGAAATACCACCATTATTGTTCTCCACTTCCCTCTTCACTTCTTCTTTCAGGTTTTCCCCACTCCCAAAATTCTCTATATAGGGTCCTCCATGAAACCCACCACCATTGTTAGTAGACACACCTTGATAATGGAGCCTTGAAGCTATCAAAGAAGCCAAGCTTGACGCCGAGGGCGAACAAGAAGACGACGATCCAAACGCAAGGTAAGGCGACGGATGATTAACAAACCCCGAGTTATTCTCAACGCTCCCGAGAAGCCCGGAAAACGAAAACCCTAATCCCATGTTATTATGCTGATGGTGCTCAAACCCGGAATCGAAGCCCGGTTCGCTCCCGGGGTAGCGATAGAGAAAAGGGTTGACCAAGTGATCAGGAACCTGGGGTTGGTGCTGGTGGTGGAGGGATAGAGGCATCGTCCCCGCCGCCGGCGGCTGGTCGTTGGCGGCAACCGACGACGACAGCACAGGCGGCGGCGGCGGGTGACGCCGGACTCTCTTGTTCTTCCTGCACCCTCCACCCACAGGAACATTCCTCAGAGTGCCCCCTCTTGTCCAGTACCTCTTACACGCCTTGCAGAAGTGTCTTGGCTGGGACAAGCTGTAGTTGTTGTAGTAGCAAAACTTGGTGTTTGACGAGTCGCAGCGCGGGCACTTCAGAGCCTGCTGCGGCGGCGGCGGCGGTTGCTTCCGATCTCCGCCGCCACCGCTCTCCGCCGCTTTCTCCATAACGCTTATCCCACCACTAGAACCCATCAAGCTTTTCCCATCATCATCATCATCCACCTGATTAAATTAGGACACTTCTTAAGCACAATTAATGAATGAAAGATGGGGAAGATATTCAAGATTAGGGCAAAAATGGAATGGATATTCACTTCCAAAAGCTAAGAAACAAAAAAAAAAGATTTTTTTCACTACAATTATTATAGAGAGAGAGAGAGAACAAAGCAATGATAATACCTCATGTGACCATACATTTTTGGTGGAAGAGGTGGCTACCATCTTCTCACACCTTCTTCTTCAAACCAGATATATATTTTAAAAAAATAAAAATATCACACACATAAAATACGAGTATTTATTTATTTATTTATTTATGTTAGTAATTTTTTTTTATGGATCTGCAAAAGAAAAGGGAATCGTTTGAAAAACAAAGAGTAAGAAGACAAAATGGGAGCAGCAGGTGGGGGGACTTGCAGTCACAGTGATTAATTAAAAACTAGCTAGCTAGTCACAGTGAGATTTCTTGAATGGTTGAAAATAACCCTTAATTAGAGAGAAGTGATTAACGGACTGAAATTAGGGTTAATTAATCACCTACTGAAACTTCCTCCTTTTGTTGCTTATTTCACGTGAACCATTTAGACCGTCACTGCGCATAATTAATTAATAAACCTTCTTTTTATGTTTGTTTGGTAATTAGTTAGGAATTACCTCGAAATTGTTTCGTTCCAAGTCTCTTCTTTTACTCACCAATTTACCTTATTTTAATTTTCAACCAAAATTATTTCATATTTTTAAGTTCTTTTTTAAAATACAAATTAATGGTTAAAGTGTTACTCCTTGTTGTTATGTTAAAAAGAATTAAGGAGATTTTTTTTTTGAGGAAAATTAAGGAAATTTAATGTTGCCTTATATATCCTCATTATTTGAGTAAACAAGTAAAAACAAATGCTACCTTCGTCTTAGTATATTCATTCGATTTAATTTCTTTGAGTCAAAGTGGAATAATTTTAGATCTCAATTATGTAAAAATTGTAATGTACTTTCCGTCCCATAAACTTTTCTCCTTTCTCTTTTCTTTGGTTCCGAAAAATTTTCTCATTTCTATAAAAAAGTCACTTTTACCCCTATTAATTCTTAATCTACTATACCAATCACATCACAATTTTTCATTATTAATGTACTCATTATATTCTATTTTTACTCATCACATCCAGAGATATTTTTAAAAAAGTCAACGAAAATGCACTTCTCTTGAATCCATTAAAAGTAAAAAACAAAAAGGTTTTGTGAAACGAATGTAGTACATTACTACAATGATGCATGTTTTCATTATATATCATGAACTTTCAAAAATTTGATTTTGATGTATCAATATGCAATATAAATTTAAAATAACAAATAATTAAAAAATTTTTAGCTTGTCTTTTAAAAAAAATCAAACTGAACGAATATAATTGAGATTAAAAGAGTATCAACCATGAAAATAGTTAGCCACCTTCAAAAATCTTTGTTAAGATATCAAACCCAAAAGGATAAACTCTATTATCAAACCCTTAGCCTTTGTTTGGATGGGGAGAGAAAATAAAGAGAACATTAAATCTCTTTTTAATCTTAAAATACAAATTAATGGTTAAAGTGTTACTCCATGTTGTTACGTAAAAAAAATTAAAGAGATTTTTTTCGAGGAAAATTAAGAAGAATTTAATGTTGCCTTATACTCCCTCCGTCCCATAAAGTGTTACCCATGTTGACTAAAGTTGAAATTAAGGGAGAGATAATTTTGTGTTGACTTTCCAAAAATACCCTTGATGTGATGGGTAAAAGTAGGATGTGATGGGTAGATTATTAGGATAAAGGTATGATGTGATAGGTAGGGTTTGAAAAAGTAAGGGGTAAAAGTGGTTTTTTAATAGAAATGGGTAAGAGATTGTGGGACACAATTTTTTTGAAACGTGTAAATCTTTTTAGGACGGAGGGAGTATATCCTCATTCTTTGAGTATTAAAAAATAAAAACAAATACTACCTTCGTCTCAGCATATTTATCCGATTTAATTTTTTCAAATCAAACTAGAATAATTTTAGATCTCAAATATGTAAAAATTATAATGTACTCCTTTCATCCCATTAAATTTTTCTTCTTTCTTTTTTCATTCGTCTCAAAAAACATTTCTCAGTTCTATAAAAAGTCACTTTATACCTCTACTAATTCTTAACCTATCAATCACATCATAATTGTTCACTATTAATCTACACATCACATCCTATTTTTACCCATCACTTCCAAGTTTAATTTTAGAAAGTCAACACAAAAATGCACTCCTATTGAATCTATTAAAAGTCAAAAACAAAAAGATTTGTGGAACGAATGAAGTACATTACTACAATGATGATTTCATTATATATCATGAACTCTCAAAATTTGATTTTGTTGTATCAATATGCAATATAAACTTAAAATAACAAATAACTAAAATTTGTTTAGCTTGCCTTCAAAAAATCAAACTGAAAACAAAAAGAGTATAAACCATGAAAATAGTTAGCCACCTTCAAAAATCTTTGTTAAGATATCAAACCTAAAAGGATAAATTCAACCAAACCCTTAAACCTAATGATACCACAGGAAGCAGCGAAAATGAAAGGCGGTAATGTACTGTTTGCAGCGCACTTGGAAAACGTAAATTCTTAAGACAAGAAGACGACAGAGATCTGAGGTAATTAATGCCAGCAAACATACGACAGATTAGATCAGGTGAATCTTTGACAACTTCGAGAAATTCACACCCCAATCAAGAGAAAACTTAGGGGAGTTTATTGCAATAAGGATAAAGCTATTTGTACCATAAGGGGCTGTTTGACAACTTTTGAATAGGTAAGTGCTGAACCAGTAAGAGGTCTGAACCATTAAGTGCTGAACCAGTAAGAGGTTTGAACCATTAAGAGTTAGTATATTGCTTAACTATTCAGAGGCAAATGTCAGATCCATTCAGATAAGAGGTCTTAACCATTCAGACTCTGTATAATACTCTCTCTGTCCACCATAGATCTTCCCAGACACTATTCACAGGGTCAAACTTTATTCACTTTGTTTGCTCATTTTTACTAGTCATTTCGTAAAATAATATAGTCTTGTCACCTCTAGTTTTGTAGAACTTTGCATGTAGTTTATTACTATATAAATTTTATTTTAAAATTTTATTCCTATAATCAATTAAATTGAATTGAAAATAAAGTCGGTCAAGCCTCGTAACGCGTAACGGGAAGAACTTAGGTGGACGGAGGGAGTACTTAACCATTCAGAGGCAAATCTCTTAACAATTCAGACATCTGAACCATTAAGAGGCTGAAACAAACAGTCTGAATCATTAAGTGATGAACCATTCAGACATCTGAACCATTAAGAGGCTGAAACAAACAGCCCCTAAGTTTTTGTGCCCCACTTTGTACCCCGCAGGTTTGCACCAACATTTTGTTTTGGTGTAAAACTAATTTTTATTAATGCACCAACATTTTTTGTCTGTATAAATTTTTGTTAACGCAGCAGCATTTGTGTCAGTGTAAACCATCAAAATGTTTGTGTATAACTGTGGATACAAATGGGGTACAATTTTTTGTGTAAGTGTAGCATGGTTCTTGCACCAAACGTACTTGTGGTAATTTGACAAATGTGCACCGTTACTGATGGCGTAAATTACCTAACCGGGTAAACTATATTAGACCGGGTCTAGAATTGTTTATTTGATTTGATAAAGTAAAAAGGTAAAAACACGCAAAGTGACCGGAAGGACTGTAGGTGGAAACACCTGTAGCCCAATTAATATTATAACAGAGAGTGCACGGGAGTTTTTACAAGTTAAGGGAGTTTAGAGAGAATGAATTCGGATCCCTCCTTTGAGGGTTACAGGAGTATATATATACTGAGTTTGAAGGGGACAAGACGTCGTGCACCCACGTTGAGGCATGTTCTCGGATGGTGGGAGGTGATGGGCTTCGTCCTTTAGCTGCCTTATCATCTTGCAAGGAAGATTATTCCCTTGTCAGGTAGCGCCTTGGATGGAAAGTTCGAACATCTCCAGCGATTCTCCACTGACCTTGGTCGCTACGGTCCAAACCACTTTGGATTCTTCTCTGCCGACACTCTCCAACCTCGGAAACTGTACCGGGTAGTTCCTGAGGGATGGGCTAGCTGAGATTGAGGGATGAATTAGACGATGAAGTGGTTTGACCGGTATACTATCCGAAGTATACCGGTAAACTTTCCGGTCAGCCAAGCTCATTCTTACTGACGATTGAGATCTATCTTTTAATAATAATCAACTTGACCGGTCAAGCATTTGGACATTCCCTTTGACCGGTTCTGGGTGGATTACACCCATCAATAAGCCCTCCACTTCTCGGTCATGTAAATATCATGGGCGGGAAGTAGAAATCTTGAAAAATGAACCCAAAATTCAAATTTATTGAACTTCCCGCCGAATATTTTCAAAATTTGAAATTTGAAAAGTACTGACTTCGACACGTGTTGCACGCTGGCATGGCAACGGTCGCGTCCTTCCGTCTTTCCACGCGTGATGATTGCACCACCTGACGCGGCGAGTTCTGCTGAGGCCACGTCACCTCTCCCAAAATTCTTCCTGCCTATATAAAGGCCTCCACCCCATTTTTCCCTTCACTTTCTCTCGCGCGTCCTTCCGAGTTTCACCGGTCAAGTTCTCTTCTTTCGCCTTCCAGCCCTCCGAGTCAAGTAAGCTTCCCTCCGTTTCTTCAATTACTTTCCCGGTCATGTCTTCCCTTGGTAGTCATAGGATTTCGTCCTAAGATGACTCCTCATCTGAGGATTCCACCTCCTCTTTTTCGACCGGGTACTACTCCTCTGATTCCGTACCCAGTCAGGTTCCCAACCCATCTGTCCCCGAACCGGAGCCTGTAAACCAAATGCCCGGTCATGCTTTCATGGAGAGGGACAGACCGGTTGGTGACGAACCGGCTCCATATGACCCTCGAAGCTGAGTCTGAATTGGGTGCAGTGGGAGGAAAGGTTGGAAGCAGCCGGTTATTCTCCCCTCCCCACCTTTTATGTCACAGACATTTACCCCTATGTCTCCAAAATAGCTTTAAACAAGGCCCATAGGAACCTCCCAGAGGGCTATGTTCTCAAATACGATGAGAACTGGCCCAACATTATCGAACCTCACCGGGAGGATAGGATGGGCTTTCACATCACTTCCTTAGAGGGAGGCACCTTTTTTCCTCTCCGGCCCTTTTGGTCGAGCTGTGTCACTGCTTTAGGATCCTTCCCGGGGAGATCACACACAATGCTCACCGGTTGCTCAATTCCTTTGTAAATATTTGCCATTTCCTTCACATCGATCCCTCTTTGTGTCTTTTCCTCTACGTCTTTAAGGTCCGCCCCGGGAAACCGGGTTGCGAAGGTTTTGTCTATTTCAAGGGGCGAACCAATCGCAAATTCATTTCTGACCTTCCACAAAGCAACCAGTTATGGAAGGAAAAGTTTGTTTTCAAAAGATTCCCTCCCTCCGTTACTCCTCTAGCCGGTTTGAGGTGGAGCGACAACCTCCTCAAACAAGAATACACTGAACCAGTATCTACTCCGGATCTGGAGGAGAGCTTGGAGAAGCTTCTAAGGGGGGATCCCTTCACCGGGCAAAAATACCACTATGGTAGCTGGGTATGGAGGGTCCAATCGGGTGGCGAGGGTACCTCCCAAGCCCATGAAGCAGCGGGGCACGGGGTACCCTCCCCGGGCGACACTACGGAGGCTGAGGGCCAAAGTCACCCAGGTATTCTTCATTCTTTTTCATCTTTCTTCGGTTGTACCGGTCTTAGTTCGAATACTTAACAATTTTTATCCATTCTGCAGACATGAACTTCAGATCCTTCAGCATTCCGAAGAAGACTGGTGCGTCTTCTTTTGCTGGCCTGCATCCCTCTTCTGCGAAGAGTGTCCCGGTCCAACAAGAGACTGTGGAGATCCACTCTGAGGAGGAAACTCCTCAGACCGGGGGGCCACCCAGACCGGGAAGACTGCGGCGAATCCTCCCCCTAACAAGGGGAAGGGGAATATCCGGACGAAAAAGGCGGCCACCACTCATCCATCGACGAAGAGGAAGAGGGGGGAGGACATCCCGGTCACCCAATCACTAGAAGAGCTCTGGGTGAAAATGGGGCTCAAGCTGAAAGATGTAACATCTTCCCGGTATACTCTCTCGAATTCACTATTCGTTCAATTATACAACCCTTATACTTTCGTTTTGCAGATGGGTGAAGATGGGCTAGACGCCTTGGAGCAGCTCGCCGAGGATTCCCCTTCCCGGTCACTTCAACTAGAGGAGAAGCTGGAGAGAGCTGAAGCCCATAACCGGGGGCTTCAAGATTTGACGGCTTGGCAGCTCGAGGAGATGGCCTACCTTTCAAGGGTAGCCGGGAGAGCGAACGCGGAGATCCTCCAGTTGAAGGAGGAGAACACGCAGCTGATGGGGGAGGTCTCCCAGTTGAAGGAGGGGGCTGAGCTGAAGGAAAAAGAGTTCCCTAGGAGGGCAAAACAATGGATGGAGGAGAACGTGGTGGAAGTCGCCCGGGTGCTTACCTCTACTCCGGAGAGGACAATGGAGGGGTTCAAACTTTTGTACCGGGAGGAGAACGGAAAAGAAATGATCACTCAAATCGGCTCCTACGGATTTATGTCTGGCAAGAAGAGAGATCGGGAAGCGTCGCATGCGATATTGGCTGAAACGGATCCGAACTTTAATGCTAAAGCATATGGCCTGGCCCCATACCGGATGAAGAGCCTTCTCCCCCTTTCCCCTTAAAGTAGATCTCCCCGGCTGCGCCCGGTTATCTTATCTTTTGTAAAACATTAACAACTCCCAATTTCCTCGGGAATACCTGGTGTATCTGTAAACACCTAACATTTGATTTTTTTATTTCAAATGTCATGTTTAATTTTCTGCCCGGTTAGCTCTCCTTCTGTTTTTTAATGTTCCCCTTTGACCGGTAGAATTTCAACCTTTGTTTTTTTTGATGTTTTCCTCTTTGATGATCAGCTTGACTTGACCGGTTCTTCTGCTCTTGCATATCTGACCAATTTGTAGAGGAATCTCCTGAAGGAAGTTTCGAAGTTCTGGTGTATTAATACCCAACCGGGATATCCTTTTTTTTGTTTCAGCGGTAGGTTGTAGATGGAAGCACCTGTAACCTAGTACTTTCTTGAAGTATCCTTAACCGGTAAGAATACTAGAGATTTAACCATGTCGAATGGTTTCGAACCCTCTCTAAGGTCCAAATGCACCCTTCTTCCAGGGCCCCCTCTTCTGGGTGATTCAGTCTTTTAATGGCCCTTTGATTTCTACTATCCCGGGAAGGCCTTAGCTCACCCCCCGTTCAAGTCTTCCTTGAGAAGGGGAAATCCGAACCGGTCGGAATAGGATGCATTGCGGTGAACGATCCTCTTCTATTTCTTTTAATGGGCATCTTTTAATCCCCAATCAATTTGATGGTTTCAGCTGATTCCCTGATACCGGTCAAACCTCATGGGCCCGTGTAAGTACGGTTCGAACCTTCTTCCAGGTCCAGCCTTCTTGCAGGCATACCCCTCTTCCGGGTTTTTATTATTATTATTATTATTATTATTATTATTATTATTATTATTATTATTATTATTATTTTATACTGAGCAAGACCGGTGTAGTAACCAGCGTGCCAGGTCCGGGCCTGTGTCTCAGTTGGCTTACCGAGTGGATTCGATCCACCCGGGAAGCCCTCCTAGGATAGGTTCGACCTATCACTTCTTTGCTACCAGGTAGAGTATTGAAATTCATAAATTTGATTGCTTGACAACAAAGATAGGCCTCGCCTAGTATTACAATTATTTGTAGAATTTTCTCAAATGATGAGAATTCCAGGTTCTTTCTACCGGGTGACCCTCTAGGATTTCCAATCGGTAGGTTCCCGGGCGAACAATGGCTTTTACCCGGTATGGGCCTTCCCAATTCTTCAACTTCCCCCCATCACCTGGTTTACTGGCCTCCCTTCTTCGTAAGACCTCATCCCCGACTTCGAAGTATCGCGGTCCAACTTTGTTGTCATGGTATTTTTTCATGACTTGTTGGTACACGCTCATCTTTACTTCCGCGGCCATTTTTCGTTCTTCAACCAAGTTAAGTTCGGCTAAATGGTCTTCTTCATTTTGCTGGGGTTTATAATTTGATTCCCGGAACGTTGGGAATTCAGCTTCGATGGGTAATCTTGCTTCACACCTATAGGTTAGGAAAAATGGAGTTTCCCCATGAGCCCTCCTAGGTGTTACTCGAAATGCCCATATGATGTGCGGAAGCTCTTCCAACCACTTGTTTCCTGCTTCTCCCAGCCGCTTCTTGAAACCATCTACAATCATTCGGTTGACATTTTCCACTTGGCCATTTCCTTGGAGATATGCCATCGAAGAACGATTGTGTTTAATCCCGAAGCCTTTCAAGTATTCAGTGAATCTCGGGTTTCGGAATTGCGGGCCGTTGTCGGTGATGAGATTCATAGGAGCTCCAAACCTCGTGATGATGTTCTTCCAAATGAATTTCTTGCATTGTTGTGTGGTGATATTGGCCAACGCTTCAGCTTCGATCCATTTGGTGAAGTAATCGATGTCCACGATTACAAACTTCTTCCTTCCTTGAGCGACTGGGAATGCTCCAATGATATCAACCCCGAATCTAACAAATGGGATGACATTCGATACGGGGTGATAGTAGGTTGCTGGTCTACTGGGATATTTGTAGAACACTTGGCACGTTCGGCATTTTTGAATGTACCTTTCGCAATCCTGGACAATTGTTGGCCAGTAATACCCCAACAAGATGATGCGCTGGGAGAGGGTACGGGACATTTGATGTGCCGCGCATACACCTTCATGGACTTCCGCTATGACTCGCTCTGCTTCCCGGTTGGTCAGGCATCTCAAGAGTGGTCCCCCGAATGCCCTCTTATATAGCATTCCGTCAATGACTTGGAACCGGGGTGCCCTGAGTTTTACTTTTCTTGCCCGGTCATCTTGTTCTGGCAAGCTTACATCCATCAAATATTTCATAAGGTCGCTCATCTAATGGTCGTCCGCCCCGACTGTGTTTGAACGGTCAGAGTGGCCGACTGCTGCTATAATGGCCACTTCCAATTTCTCGATGCTGGCTCGATCAAGGATTTCTACCCGGGCAAGTTTTGAAACATGCTCGGGGGCATACTTCGTCAATTTGGAGAGAAGGTCTGCATCCGCGTTTTCCGCCCGGGGAATTTGGGCGATCTTGAATTCCTCGAAGCCCTTCAACAAAGTCCGGGCGGTAATTTCCATGCCTCACCTGTGCATGAAGTTCCACACCCCAGGTGGTGTGGGAGAGGTGAAAGGCGACCAGAGGAACGCTCGCGAGTGCTATGCCCGGGCAGTGAAGAAGATGACAAAAGGAGTAAATGTCATCTCCCAGGAAATCACCAAGGGAGAAACCTGAGAAAAACTTGAGCCCGAGGCTGAGACGGTGGAAGTCGAACTTCACCCGGGTGATTCTTCAAGGACGGTCAGAATTGGAGCAAATCTCCCAGAGGATCTCAAGGCGGAGATTACACGGCTCAGGCATATTTGCATGGAGCGTGGCAGATATGCCCGGGATTGACCGCTCAATCATCTGCCACCGGCTGGTAGTAAGGGGTGGAAGTCGACCGGTACGCCAGAAGAAGAGGTACCTCTATAATTTTAAAACTTGCATCGTTGCTCCTCATATATGATTCTGATATTGTTATGTCAACGCTCATCTAGAAAAAAATATTCTTCAAATATTAGGTTAATAATTTCGCTGCTATCTATGTTTTTGGAAATCAGCGCCAATGCCTCTCTCCTTTTTCTTTATTGTTTTTTTCTTTTCTTTTTTCATAAAGAGAAGAAAAATGTTAGTGTGTGAAATAATAAAAAATTGTTTTTTCAAACCTACATTTTTAAAAAAGTTTTACCAAATATAAAAGCGTTTGTGTTTAAAATAAAAAATTTAATTAACATATATATTTGATTTGTCAAATTAAATATTTTTTGTCTAAAAAAGTTTTTATCATTTTGAATATGTCGGGGGCCAAATGAGTAACATCTTTTTTAAATGTAGTTGAATATATATTAGTAACATTTTTTGGACCAATTTGTAAAAAATTTCCTTCATGACTTAATTTTCCCTATTCTATAAAAGTATTTTTTCATATACTTTTATTTTTCTTTATTTTCGTTTCTTTTCTTTATTCTTTTTATTTTAATTTCAATTAAAATTAAAGAAACGGTATAAAATTAATTTATAGAAAATGAGAAATGAACTTTCATAGAAAAGAGAATATTTCATTGATTTTCGTATCATGAAAATGAACCAATAAATACATCTTTTGGACAATAAATGAAAATGTTTAATTTGACAAATGAAGTGTACATTAAAATGTTTAATTGATTTTTACTGCAAATACAAAAAAATTGTTTATTAATACATTATAAAAAAATTTAAAAAAAGAAATTAAAAAGCATTTTTGAAAAATTAGTAGAAAACAGAAAAAACAATAAAGAAAAGATGAGGCGTTTGTTCCAATTTCCTAAACCATAGGAGGCAGTGAAGCTATTCTTATAATATTTGAAAAATATTTTAGTCAAGGGACATTCGCGTAGCAATATCAGAATCGAGGGACAACAAATCCTAGGGGGTAATGGTGCCATGCACACTACGGTGGTATTGATTTGTTCAGTCTTACTCCGCGCGCGTATTCAATATTTACATATAATTGGACTGGCTTAGTTGTTAATGTTTTGATCTACACGGATGATTTAGTCATTACTAGGGACAATTCTGTTGAAATCACCCATTTTAAGAAATATTTATTTGATTGTTTTCATATGAAAAACTTGGGTACTTTGAAATATTTTCTTGGGATTGAAGTGACATGAAATCCCACAGGTATCTTTATCACCCAACGAAAGTTTGTTCTCGATATTATCACTGATTCTGGTTTGCTTGGATGCCGCTCACTTGACGCTTTATTGGAGAAATTGTCTTGAATACAACGTTTTCAATCTTGATCCATATGTAGCGTAAAGCCACCTAAAGACGAGCTAGACTAATTATAAATAAATTCGAGCATGTAGTCAAAGTTTCGATATATAGGTCTCTGATTCCAAAAATCACATATCACGTACTCAAATTTTTGCACAGGCCTTGCTAATCCCAGCACAGGGTGCTGTAGCATCTTCTTTGTCACTCTCGAAAACTGTAGCAACCAAGTCTAAATAAATCTCTCCTAATAAATAAGGATTTTTACCTAGTAAAAAAACTTCTAATAAATATGAATTTCTATATTGTCAAAAGATTAGCCACTCTTCTCCTTAATTATTTGGTCGTTGTTCAATTTCTTATTGATTTGATCATGAATAGATCGAGTTTTTCCTTTTTACTCAGAGTTTGGGTAGGTCCAACTTCCTCCTTTTGCCATCCAATGCGTAATGGACTTAAACTCTCTAACCAAATTAGTACTCCCTCCGTTCTCAAAAACACTTCCTCTTTCATTTTTTCCACTTCCAACAAAACACTTCCCTTTTCTATTAAAAACTACTTTTACCCTTACTTTTTCATACCCTACCTATCACATCATACTTTTTCTTTAATAATCTATCCATCACATCTTACTTTTACCCATCACATCAGGGGCAAAATTGGAAATCAACTATAATTTAACACTTCCTTATTTTTGCCCCAAACCCAAATGGGAAGTGTTTTTCCAAACGGATGGAGTATATCTTACTATTTCAGCTATCCTCCAAACTTTCAAGAAATTAAAATTGCCTCAATCTTGAGATTTTCTCACATTTTCTCACATCAGCACTTCTCCATCTTTTA